TCCGGGTCGTACTGGTCCGGATCGTACACGACCCCGGTCCGCGCCCCTCGTCACGCGCTCGGGCCTCCCCCCGCCGCGGCTCGGCCCCGCAGCAGGCATCTTCCCGCACGCCGCGAGTCCCGTCGCGTCCGGAACCCACCGCGTGCGCGTCGAGTTATCCGGATCGTACAGCTCGTCGTCGGCGCCGCCGCCGCGACCGCCGCCGCCGCCGCCGCCGGTCAGCGGCGGCGGCGTGTACCTCGGCGCGGACTGCGGCGCCGCGCCGAGTTCGCCGACGTCCACGTACGCGGCGACGACGGGCTCGATCCCGTCGAAGGTCCCGGTCCACCCCGCGGGGAGATGCACGAAATCGCCGCGCGCGCACCGCCGCGCGCTCGCGCCGTCAACGTCGGTGAGAAAAAACGTGCCCTCGATGACGAAGAACACCTCGTCCACGTTCCTCGGCGCGATCTGCGCGGCGCCGACGCCGCAGGACCAGCTCCCGGCGCGGACGCTGCCGACGTCGTAGATCGTGTTCCCGGCTTTCCCGACCGCCGGGATCGGCGCTTGGATCTCTCGCTGCGACACGACGACCGGACGCTTCGACGCGCCGGCGACGTCGTCGTGCTCCATCGTGAGCCACACCTTGTGGATGTGCCGTCCGATGTCCCACCTCCCGTGCCAGCCTTTCGGGAGCACGACGGAGTCGCCGGGGCCGAACGCGTGCATCGTCCCGTCCGGATCCGTCACCGCGCCGTTCCCGCTGAGGACGTAGAACCACTCCGTGCTGCCTCGCGGGTTCGGGGAGTCCCAGCCGCCCTCGGAGCACGCCCACGAGCCGCAGGACGACGCGCCGTTTTGCATCCTGCGACGCGCGAAGGCGATGGCGGCGGGGAAGGTGTCGCACGATGAGTGTCGGGAGAGAGACGACGCGAGAAGACGACGATCTCGGCGAAGCGCGCGATCTTATCTGAAATCGTTCGAGACGCGGGCGGGGACGGCGGCGCGACGCGCGCGCGCACCCTTTCACGAACGGGCGCCCCGCGTCGTGCGGGTCGCCGATGTCCACGTTCGATCGCGGGCCCTTCACGGTGAGCTGGTCGAGCGCGAACCATCGCTCCGGGACCGCGGCGAAGTCGCACTTTTGCTCGACGTCGACGACGGCGGCGAACGCGACCGGCGCCGCGCGTCTCGCGCCGCGGGCGCGCGGCCGGCGCGCGCGGCCGGCGCCGCGCGGGGACGCCGAGGACGCGGCGAGCGGGGCGTGGATGCGCGCGGAGAGGAGCGCGGACGTCATCGAACCGAGAGCGACGTGCGGTGGCGCGCGCGTCGGCGTGTCCGCGGCGACGGCGGCGGCGCGCCGGTTTTCCCGAGACCAGGCGCTGCGCTGCCTGCACTGCCCGAAGCACCTGCCACACTTTTGAACCGCGCGCTCAGCGTCCGTGCGCTCGTCCGTCGCGCGACGTCGACGACGCGAGGGTTTGACGTCCTCGACCGCCGCGGGTCCGCGTCGTGGCCCCTACCGCGAACGCCGCGATGGCGCCTCCGAAGCGCAGAAGGAGCGCGCGCCTCGCGGTCGACGACGACGACAGATCCACCGACGACAGATCCACCGACGACCTGCGGCGGGAGAACGCCGACCTGCGGCGGGAGATCGCCGCGCTCGAGGAGGAGCTTCGATCGCTGCGCGAAGCCGCGCGCTCGCCGTCAATCCTGGAGCGATTCGTCGAGGAAGCGCCCGACGTCTTCGCCGCGCATGTGCTCCCGCGGTTCGACAACTACGGCGATCTCGCGGTGCTCGCGATGGTGAACCGTCAGATGCGCGGCGTCGTCTTCGAATTGCCCGTCGGCGACGTGAGGTGGACGGGCGCGGCGGTGAGCAGAGAGCTCGCGAAGGTGCGAAACTTCGTCGGGTCGATCCGCAGGCTCGCGTGGGCGTGGGAGCGAGGGTGTCCGTGGAACGCGAAGACGTTCGCGTGCATCGCGAAGGGTGGAAACTTGGAGGTCGCGAAGTGGGCGAAGGAACGAGGATGCCAGTGGGACGAGAGGACTTGCGCCGAAGCCGCGGGTGAAGGCCACCTGGAGGTGTTGCAATGGTTGCGAGCGAACGGCTGCCCGTGGAACGAGTGGACTTGCTTCCATGCCGCTATGGGTGGCCACTTCGAGGTGCTGAAGTGGGCGCGAGCGAATGGCGCTCTGTGGGACGAGAACACTTGCTCCTCAGCCGCGTGGAGTGGCGATTTGCAGATCCTGCAGTGGGCGCGAGCGAACGGCTGTCCGTGGGACGGGGAGACTTGCTCCGAGGCCGCGATTCACGGCCACCTCGAGTTGCTGCAGTGGGCGCGGGCGAACGGATGTCCGTGGGACGAGTCGACTTGCTCCCGCGCAGCGGAAGGCGAAGAGCTGGAGGTGTTGAAGTGGGCGCGAGCGAACGGATGTCCGTGGGACACGAAGACTTGCGCCGAGGCGGCGTGTGGTGGGCAACTCGAGATGCTGCAGTGGGCGCGAGCGAACGGCGCTCCGTGGGACGAGGAGACTTGCTCCAAAGCAGCGGAAGGCGAAGATCTGGAGGTGTTGAAGTGGGCGAGAGAGAACGGATGTCCGTGGGACACGAAGACTTGCGCCGAGGCGGCGACTGGTGGGCAACTCGAGATGCTGCAGTGGGCGCGAGCGAACGGCGCTCCGTGGGACGAGGAGACTTGCTCCAAAGCAGCGGAAGGCAACGAGCTGGAGGTGTTGCAGTGGGCGAGAGCGAACGGATGTCCGTGGGACAAGGAGACTTGCAAGAAGGCCGAGGAAGGCGGTCACCTGGAGGTGCTGCGGTGGGCGGGCGAGAACGGCGCTCCGTGAAACAAGGAGCGTTTGTTTTCTTCGCTCCGCTCCGCCTGCGGCGCGGGCGGGTGCGGGTGCTCGATACCTGGCTTCCGGAAAAAAAAACCTCGCGAGCGAAAGTACGTTGTAGATTTTCATTTCGTATGGGCAAACAGTTTGATACGTGTACACGTACGCTGATCTGGCAAAAAATTCTCCCGAAAATTTTTCTCCCGACACACCTTCGAACCTGAGACTGTCATCGGCGCATCACACCTCATCACGGCCCTTCGTCTTCTCCGACACTTTTATCCACTCGTAGTAGTACAGTACCAAAAAAGCGAACTAATTGCTCACTGGGAAAGAATACGGATGCCAACAGGGGATTGCCTTTCAAACGGCTCCGCCGCCAGTCCGCATATGCGAAAGGTCGGCCTCCCGCGACGCGCACTCTAGCGCGCCCGCGCGCGCGTCGGATTCCCTCTCGACGTCGCGTCGTCGAGCGAAAGCGATATCGATCGCCCGTCGCTCGCGCTCTCCCCGCGAGATACATCCTCCTCGGCCGCCGCGCGCCGCGTCGATCGCGTCTCGGCAGACGCGCCGCGGCCAAAACCAGATCTCATCCGAACACAGATGGCGTCCCACGTCGACGTCACGTTGGGAAGCGGCGCCGCCCCGAAGCTCCGCCGACTCTCCTCGTGCTGGCGCCCGGCGTCGTCCGGGAACCTCGCGGCGCTGCAGGACGCGCACGAGAACGGCGCGCCGTGGGACGAGCGCGTCTGCGCGAACGCCGCGCGCGACGGCCACCTCGACGTGCTGATCTACGCGCACGAAAATGGATGCCGATGGGACGCGCGCACGTGCGAGTACTCCGCCCAAAACGGCCACCTCGAGTGCCTGAAGTACGCGCGGTCGAACGGGTGCCCGTGGGACGAGGGCCTCTGCGCCGCCGCCGCGAAGGCGGGGCAGCTGGAGTGCCTAAAGTGGGCGAGAGAGCAGGGCGCGCCGTGGGGGGTCATGACCCCCGCCTTCGCCGCGTTCGCCGGCGACGTCGACGCTTTGCGATGGGTCGTCGAGAACGGTTGCCCGTGGGATAAGAAGACTCGGGATTACGCGGCGATGAATAACCAGGAGGCGACGCTGCGGTGGGCGATCGAGAACGGGTGTCCGGAGGAGTGAGGAGGAGGACGCGACGGCGAGCGAGCGAGCGCGCGCGAGGAGGAGGACGAAATAGTGATAGCCTTTGAAACTCCCGATTAGGGAGCGCCGCTCGCGGCTTTCAATATCAATTTATTACGATGAAACGTCGTTTTCGCTTGATCGATCCCTCGCGATCAAAAATCCCGGCGTCGGAACGATGAAAATGAAACGCGTTGTGGGCACCGCGCTGGCGGACGACGCGTTTTCTTCGCCGCCAAACCCCCGCGCGCGCGCGCCGCCGCCCGGCCTCGGCGCGAGACGAACGACGATGGCACGCGCGGGACGTCGCTGACGCTCTGATCCGGCCGCGGACGCGCGCGGGGATCGACATCTCGCGGCGGACGCGACGCGCGACTCGCGACCTTTCGCGAATCTGCCGCACCGCCGAACGCCGCGAGCGTCGTCCGCGTTATAAGTTTAAAGGAAGTCGTCGATGGAGGCGCGCGCGCGACGCGCGTGGACGGCGGCGACGTCGCGATGGTCGAGCGCGACGCCGCGAGAGCCGACGACGCCCCAAGGGTTCACGCTCACCGGACGCTCGGTCAAGACGTCGCGGTTCGCGTCGTTGTCCGCCTCGAACGCGATCATCCCTCCGAGCTCATCAAACGCCGACGCGTCGACGCCGACGTCAGGTGCGTTCTATACACTGGTCCCCACACGACCGCGATCGCGTGGTGAACGCCGTTCCTTAAGGACTTTGCCCGTCGCATCTCTCCGCCCAGGGTCCCACGGTTTCAATCCCGACACACCTCGACGCCTTTCAACTCCGCTTCTGACGCCTTTGAACTCCACCCCGACGTTCGCTCGTATAGAACGACCCTCAAACGACGATCCTCGCGGAGGCGGTCCCGGCGGCCGCGGCGAGGACGACGACGATCCTCGCGCGCTCATCGGCGAGACCGTCGTGTACGTCGAGCCCGACGCCGAGACCGGGTTCACGCGCGTGTCGGTCATCACGATCGACAGGAACGGTCTCATGGCGGACATCGGCAGCGCGTTCATGAGCTTGGGCTTGTGCGTGAAGAGCGCGGCTATTCAAACCGGCGACGACGGATTCGTCGAGAACGCGTTCGTGGTGCACGGCGCCGACCTCGGCGCGATCCCGGTGGCGCGGTGGGACGACGTCAGGACGCGTCTGAAGGCCACGTGCGGTCGCAGAGGAAGAGGGAAGCCGTGGATGGAGCGCGAGAGCCGGCTCCGGGAGCTGTTCAGCCGGATCGACGCGCGGCGTCGCGGCTTCATCGCGCAAGAGGATCTGGACCTCTTCGCGCAGTCGCTGCGGATGCCGCGCGCGTTCGTGCACGACTTCGTGGACGAGGGCGACCAGTCGGGCGACGGGAAGATGTCGTTCGAGGAGTTCGCGGCGTTCGTGCGGTCGAAGGAGATTTCGTTACAGGCGTCGTACGAGTCGCTGCAGCCGGACGCGAGGGGGAAAATTTACGGCTGGCGCCTGAAGAAGAACCTCCGAAACATGGAGCTGCGAACGGGGCGGTACAACACGCGGAAGAAAATTCGCAGAAGAGGCCTCCAACAGATGCTCAAGTACGTCGACGACAGCGCGATCCTCACCGCGGCGGATTTCCGCGACATGATGATCCTCATCCCGCAAGGCCAACTCGAGACGGTGAGTCCGTACTTCATGAAGGTGGGCCTCGACGTCGGCACGCGGCGGCTGCCGATCCCGGACCGCAGAAAAGACGGGTCGCCGTGGGGCCACCTCCTCGCCGGCGGGCTCGCCGGGATCGCGTCGAAGACGGTCTCGAGCCCTTTAAACGTCGTCGCCGTGCGAGCGATCGCGTCGGGCGACGTGAACGGCCCGCGCACCGTCGGCGACCTCGCGAGGGCGATGTCGAAGATCGCGCGCGGACCCGAGGGCGCGCGCGGTCTGTTCAAAGGGAACATGTCCAACAGCGTCGCGAGCGCGCCGGGGAAGGCGTTCGACTTTTTCGCGTACGCGACGTACAAGAGGTTCTTGCTGAAAGGCGAGGACCGCGAACCGACGAACCTGGAGCGTTTACTCGCGGGGTCGCTCGCGGGGATGACGTCGGACACGTTGCTGTACCCGCTCGAGGTCGTCTCCACTCGGGTGTCGATGAACCTTGGGAAGCCTTCGAACGTGTTCGCGACCGCGCGCGCGATCGCGAAAGCGGGGGGCGTGCGGGCGTTATACGCCGGGTGGGGCGCCGCGATGGTCGGCGTCGTCCCGTACGCGGGGATATCGTTCGGGTGTTACGACATGCTCTCGACCGCGTATCGAAAACGGCTGGGCGGCGAGACCGCGGGGCCGCTTCCGACGCTGTGCTTCGGGTTCGCGTCCGGCCTCCTCGCGTCGACGCTGTCGTTCCCGTTGTATAACGCGACGGTTCGGTTGCAGAGCGGCACGATACCGGCGGGTTTAGTGGGGAAGCCGGGCTTGGTGAACGTCATGACGCACGTGTATAAAACCGGCGGCGCGAAAGCGTTGATGAACGGGTGGGTGCCGTCGTGCGCGAAGATCGTGCCCCAGGCCGGGGTTTCGTTCTTCGTTTACGAGATCGTCAAGACATGGCTCGACGGCGAGGAAGACGCGCGCGACGACGCGTCGATCGAGGACTAGAGCGGCGGGGGGCGTGTTGTTGTTATCGTATCTCGCGTAGAAAAATAAAACGTCGCCGGCGTGATGAAGAGTGCCGATCCGATCGCTTCGTCGTCGATCGACTCGAACCGAATCAATCGAATCGACTCGACTCGACTCGACGCGTCCGTCTTCCACGTTACTTCTTGGGCTTCGACGCCAACACCGTCCTATGCCTCGGGTCCGTCTGCTCCGTGTGCACGTGCTCGAACCCAATCTCCGTCAACATCCCCTCGATGTCGATCGTGTAGTACTCGTTGCTGTGCGGCTCCGTGGATTTCATCAGCGTGAAGAGCGCGGGTGGCAAATTCTGAATCACCGCGCTCTTGGGGTTGTTATCCGTCATCACGAACGTCCCCCCGGGCTTCAGTATCCTCGCCGCCTCCGTCAGCAGCGCCCGCGTCGCGTACTCCGGGCACTCGTGAATCACGAACGCGAGCGAGACGACGTCCACGGAGCCGTCCTCCATCTTCGTATCCTCCCCGAGGCCGTGCCTCCACTCCCGGCGCTCCGACCCCGGCTTCCCCTCGTCCGCGCGCTTCGCGACCGCGAGCATGTACGGCGAGAGGTCCATCCCGATCATCCGCGCGGTCGGGAACGCGTCGGAGATGTACCGCGTGCTGATCCCGACGGAGCACCCCACGTCGACGATCAGCTCCGGCTCCGCAGCCGCGCCCGGGGAGTACCTCTCGACGTGCGATCGCAGCGCCGAGGTGTACGAGTCGCGCAGTCGCCGCTGCGCCTCCTCCGCGGTGATCCTGTCCTTCGGGTACACCCTGAGCGCCATCGCGTACGTCGCGGGCTCCGCCTCGAACGCGGCGAGCCAGCACAGGTTCCCTTCGCTGTACGCGTGGAACGGCTGGAGGTAATACGACGGGTACTCGACGTCTTCGTTCCTTATCTCGTCGTAGAGCGCCTTCACCGCGGGATCCGCGTCGAGCGCGGACGCGATGTCGCGCCACGCGACGCCGTTCTTCTCCGCGGTGTTGATGAGCGTTCGGCGCGCCATGGGCTTCATGAGCCCCTCGTACAGGAGCTTGTTCGAGATCGCGGCGTCGACGACCTTGCTGAGGAAGTCGTCGCCCGCCCAGTCGGGCTTCTCCTTGTCCGTGGTGAGCGACGACGTCGACGACGACGACGACGACGCGTCCGCGCGGCGGGACGCGAGCGACCCGCGCGAGGAGGAGGGCGCGGGCGATGAGCGCGCGAGGGATCGCGCGGATGGCGCGCGGGGGGTCGCGAGCGCGATCGACGCGACGGTCGACATCGTGCGTGCGTCGCGGCGTGCCGCGCGACGATGCCAACTGGCGTTCTCTGCCGGAAGGAGCTCAGATTTCGTTCGCCGCACCAGACTGGACGCGACAGGACGAGGCCCTAAACCAAGATACCGTATGTTCATCGGTCAGTTGAAAGGGGACGCGATCAGATGTTGAAACTACTGGATGGGTCAAAGTTATTTGCACCTGACGAGCTCGACTCGACGGCACTCAGCATTCGCCCGCGCGCGTCGCGAGGTCCTCGTCGCGGCTCGGACGCGATGGCGGACCGCGACGCCGCGCTCCGGGAGCTCCTCGGAGAGATCGGCGACGGCGACGGCGGCGCCGGCTCGGACCCGTCGACGTCCGCGGCGTCCGCGCGGGTCGACGGCGACGACGCCGCGGGCGGAGACGCGACGATGATGCATCATCTGAACCTGCGAGATCTCACCCTCGACGCGTCCTCCGCGGCGAACGCGATCGACGGCCTAGACCTCGACCTCGTGAAGTACGCGGACCACGACGTCGTTCGCGACATCATGCGCTCGGACGTGACCGACCTGAAGCAGCGCGCGTCGTCCGTGGAGGCGAAGCTCCAGTCCGTGGAGCTCGAGAGCATCAAAGACTACGTCGCGGAGAGCGACAACCTCGTCGCGCTCCACGGACAGATCGAAGGCTGCGACGCCATCCTGCGCGAGATGGAGTCGCTGCTGTTAGGGTTCAAGAACGACCTCGGGAAGATCTCGAGCGAGATCAAGTCGCTTCAAGACCAGTCGTCCACGATGGGGACGAAGCTTCGGAATCGCAAAGCCGCCGAGTACAGCCTCGGCGCGTTCGTCGAGGACGTCGCTCTCGCGCCCGATCTCGTCCTCGCGATCGCGGACGGGGAAGTCAGCGAGGCGTATCTCCGAAGGCTCGTGGAGTTGGACCGGCACTTGGAGTTCATGCGAACGGACGCGACCGCGAGCGCGAGCGCGGCGGCGCGAGACGTCGCCCCGGAGCTCGAGCGCCTGCGCGCGAAAGCCGCGGCCAAGTCGCGAGAGGCGCGTTCACGTTTACACTGGTTCCCATACGACCGCGTTGGCGTGGTGAACGCCGTTTCTTAAGGACTTTTGCAGTCGTTTCTCTCAGACCACCCCACGGAGCGTTTCACTCCGGTTTCACGCCTCGATGCCTTCAACTCCGACTGACGCGTTTCGACCGACTCCGCCCCGCTAATAACAGTTTCTCATGGATAAGATTTACGCGTTGCGAAACCCGAAGACGAACGTGCAGGTGATGCAGCAGAACGTGCTGCTGAAGCACAAGTACCTCGTCACGTTCATGCGGAAGAACGCGCCGGAGGTGCTCACGGAGGTGCGCGTCGCGTACGTGGAGACGATGAGCCGGGTTTTGAGACAGGCGATGGCCGGGTACGTCGCGTCTTCGGGCGCGCTCCGAAGGGACGTCGCCGGGCGGAGCGACCTCCTCGGCGCGAACGCGTCCGCGATCGCGCCGGGGAGGGATAACGTTTCCGGGTCGAGCGTTTTCGAGCTCGGCACGAGAGGCGACGTCTTGAGAGAGCTCGAGACGACGCCGCCGATCATCGTGCATCACGTCGAGGCGAGCGGCGCGAAGTACCCGCGCGAGGCGCTGTTTCGATCGTCGCATAAGCTCCTCATGGACACCGCGACGTTCGAGTACCTCTTCTGCGCGGAGTTCTGGGGAGGATCCGGCGGCGGCGCCGGCGCCGCGAACGACGTGTTCGCGGACATCTTCGCCGGGCCGATCGTCGTCATGGAAGACCACCTGAGAGAGAGCACCGCGGGTTTGGGCGTCGGACCCGGCGCGCCCGGCGCGGGCTTCGGCGGCGACGTCGACGTCGTCGGCGTCGCGCTCATGCTTCGCGTCAACACCGAGCACCAGCACATCATGACGCGACGCCGAGTGCCGTGTCTGGATAAGTACCTCGACGGCGTGAACATGACGCTGTGGCCAAAGTTTAAGAACGCGCACGACGCGCACGTGAGGTCCGTGATTGACGCGGCGGCGGCGGCGGCGAGATCGAACGCGTTTTCCGCCGACGACGCCTCCGTCGCCGCGCATCACGTCGCGCGGCGGTACGCGGACCTGACGCGCGCGATGACGTCGATCAGCTCCGGCGCGGGGGAGGTGGTCGAGACGCAGATCGAGAGCGCGATGGAGCGGCTGCGGACCGCGGTGATTGACTTTTTAACGCGGGCTTCCGCGCGGTTCCGAAGGAGGAGCCGCGGCGTCGCGTTTCTCGTGAATAACTTTGAACGCGTTCGCGCCGCCATCGCGGAGACGTCGCCGATCGCGTCGGTGACGGGCGGCGCGGTCGCGGACCCGATGGAGAGCGCCGCGTACGGGTACTTTACCGCGGAGCTGGCGCGTTTGAGCGGGGAATACGTCGAAGAGACGCTGCGCGAACGGTTCGGCGGGATGATATCGTTCGTCGATCGCGCGGAGGCGGCGGCTGGGGCGGCGGCGGGGGCGGGCGAGTCGGCGGCCGGGGACGCGGAGCTCACCCCCGCCGCCGCCGCGCCGCTGATGCGCGACTTCGCGGAGCGATGGAAGCGCGCGATCGAGGAGATCAGCGCCGAGGTGAGCGCGTCTTTCCCGGGGACGGAGACGACCGGCGGCGGCGGCGAGCTTCTCAAGTCGACGCTGAGTCGACTGCTCGTGTGGTACAACCGACTCAGCGGACCGGAGGGGGTGCTCGCGCGGATGGGTCCGGAGGGCGCGGCGCTGTGCGCGGACGCGGTCGCGAACCCGGCGTTCATTTACGAGATCAAGAGGCAGAGCCGGGGCGGAGGGGCGTGACGAGAGAGCGTCGGCGCGCGCACCCGTAGTTGAAGGTAGTCGAGACAAGTGGCACTAGATCGACGTGGCAGTCTCGCGCCGTCAATCAAATCAGATCGTCATGCGCGCGCTCGCGCGCGGGGGCGCCTCCTCGGCGCGCGCCGCGCGCGCACCTCGAACGCGACGCGCGCCGCCGCGTCGTCTCGCCGCCGCGCGACCCCGCGCGGCCTCCTCCGGGGACGACGCCGCCGAAAGCGGGTGGCGCACGCTCGGCGGGACGACGGCGTCGTCGCGCGAGGACTCGGGCTGGATCGCGGTCCAGGACGAGCCGTCCGTCTCCTCGCCGGAGGAAGACTACGAGCGCGACTTCAGCGGAAGGGTCGTGTACCGCCCGCGCGGGTACTACTACGACGCCGTGCGCGCCTCCGACGCGGGCGAGCGCGTCAAGGTGGACGTCGGCGTCGTCGACAAGCGCCGCGCGCGCACGTTCTGCATCGCGAAGCGGCTCGCGGGCGGATCGGATCTCGTGGAGGTGACGATGGAGCGGCCGCTCGGGATCGTCTTCGAGCGCGACACGGAGGGGCGCGTCCGCGTCGCGGACTTCGTGGACGGCAGCAAGGCTGGCCGCGCGGCCGCGGTGGATCGTCTGCAGGGGCTGAACGCGATCGGCGCGGCGGCGCCGCGTCGCGGCGACGTGCTTCGAGCGTTCACCGCGTCGACGCTGTCGTTCGGTCCCCGCGCGCAGCTGTTAGGGGATCTGTCCGGGACGAAGCGCGCCGTGGTGTTGTTCGGCGCGGACGATCAGCCGTGGGGGAAAGTGTCGTCGAGCCTCAGCAGCGGGCTCGTGAGGGACGGGCCGGTGACGTTGATCTTGGAGAGGCACCGAGACGCGGAGATGCAAAAGGCGTGGACGCCCGAGCCGGCGGAGGCGCGCGGCGTTCGCGGCGACGCGTCGCGGTCGGGGGGGGGCACGCGACGGAGCGGCGCGGGTGGGAGGGGACCAAGCGGCGCGGCGGCGGCGGAGACGTCGGGCGGGGAGAGGAAGCGCGTGGCGAGGACGAGCTTGGACTTGGGAGGCGTCCCGGACCCGATAAACGCGGCGGCGGCGGTCGCCGGGTTGAGTTTTCTCTTGTTGGTCTTCACGGGGTTCAACCCGTGATTTAGCATGTAAATCATGACAATAATTAACGACGCGGCTCGTCGTCACGCGGTCTCTTTCTTCTTCTTCTTCTTCTTCTTGTCCTTCTTCTTGTCCTTCTTCTCGGGCTCCTTGTCCTTCCCGCGCCCGCCGAAGAAGGGCAGCCCGGCGAACCCGCCGCCGCCCTTCTTCTCCTTCGCTCTCTTTACCTTGTCCTCCTTCCTCGCCCTCTTCTCCGCGATCTTCCTCGCGTAATCCGCGTCCTCCTCCGCCTCCTTCCTCGCCTTGTTCTCCATCATGGCGTCCGTGATGATATCTTTTTGCATCGTGCGCTCCATGTCCTTGCGGTCCGCGGTGTTCCCGAAACAGCGCGCCCAGTGAAAATCTTCAAAGATCGGGTGCGGCTCGAATTTCCGCTGATTCACGAACGGGAGGTAGTGCCACCCCACGCCCTTGCAGCTCCGGCACGTCTGCACGCCGGTCTGCTTGCAGTACTCGCAGGGTAAGTACCCGGTGAACGCATCGTTTTTCGCCTGCCCGCGCGCGAGCTGCCCGCTTCTCGAGACGTCCACCTTCATGGAGTCGAAATCCGCGACGGGCTTCGCCTCGCGCCACGCCACGCCGTGGCCGTCGCACTTGCCGCACTTCATGATGCCGGCCTTGTTGCATATCTTGCAGTTGTGCTTGAAGAGGTGCGGTTTCATCTCTTTGATGCCGTTCGCGAGGGTGAACCAGAAGCCCCACTGCGACGAAGGAGGATGGAGGAAGGGGGAGGAAGGACGCGTCAGGATCGATCGAATCGAATCGAGGGTTAGGGTTGGGTCGTTGGAAATAATTATCGCATCGGCGCAGAACACGGGACGGGAAGGGAGGCGACGCACCCCCGCGAACATCCCGCACATCGACCCGACGTCGCCCATCTTGCCGCGTTCGAAGCCGCGTTCGAGCGGTGCCCAGGCAGCGCCTCGAAGAGTGCGGCGCGGCGCGAGACTCGTTCGACGAAAAGTCATCTGGCTGCGCGCTTTTTATTTCGCTCATCAGCAAGCATCCAGTCTTCCGCCGCCCGCGCGCCCGCATTATTTTTGGGCGCGCGCCGCGCCGCTGGCCGCGCCTCCTCCGCCGCCGGCGCGATGCGCGATCCTTTCAGCCGCAACGTCCTCGTCGCCGGGAAGAGCAAGTCGAAGACGCCGAAGCACCCGCCGTCGCTGAACCGACGGGTGAACATGTCCAAGGTGAAGCTCGACGTCGTCAAGCCGTGGGTCGCGCGGCGCGTCACCGAGCTCCTCGGCATCGAGGACGACGTCCTCGTGTCGATGATATTCAACGTGATGGAGATGGACCAGATACACAAGGACGGGAGCGTGATGTACGGGCAGCTGCTGACGTTCTTGGAGCGGAACACCGCGACGTTCATGACGGTGCGCGCGCATTCGAGGGACGCGGCGGCGGAGCGTGCGGTGGACCCGAAGCGACGTCGTTCGGCGTTCGCATCCGCAGCTCTTCTCCTCCGACGCTTCGAACAGAAAGATCTGACGCTCTTCCTCCTCGCTCGCCGCGTCGTCTCGCCCCTTTCTCTCCCTCCAGGAACTGTGGGATCTGCTCGTGAGCGCGCAGGAGAACGCCCACGGCGTCCCGCAAGCGTTCATCGACGCCAAGGAGGCGGAGCTGACGCGTCAAAAGGAAGTCGCCGAGGCGTTGCGGCGGCGGCAGGCGGAGGCGGCGGCGGCGAAAACAACCGTCAAGCGCGAGGGCGAGCGCGAGGGCAGAAAGAGCCGCTGGGACCGCGACAAGGAGGACAGACGCGGCGACGGGGATAGGAAGGAACGGGACGCGAAGGACAGAGACAGAGACGGGGACAGAGACAGAGACAGGGAGCGAAAGCGAGATCGGAGCGGCGAACGGAGGGAGGACGACCGGAAACAACGGCGGCGGTCGCGAAGTCGAAGCCGCTGAGCGAGAGTCGCGACGAAGGAAGGAACGTCGTTCTCTACGATGCGATGCTACAGTATCACTTCTTCTCTTTCCTCTTCTTCTTCTTCTTCTCCGGCTCGTCCGCTTCCGTCTCCATCGGCGCCGCTTCGCCACCGCCGCCGCCGCCGCCGCCGCCGCCGCCGCCGCCGCCGCCGCCGTCGTCGTCGTCGCCGCCGCTCTCCGACCCGGGTCCCAGGTCGTCGAAACACCTCCCCCACGGCTGCTTCTTCCACTCGTCGCCCTCGCCTCTGCCGTGCCGCTCGAGCCAGTCGATCGCGCTCGCGCATATGTCCGCCTCCCCGTACCTCTCCTCCATCTCCTGCTCCGCGCTCAGGATCGTGGACGCCTGCGGAAGATTCTCGTGCCTCGCCTGCGACTCCGCGTCCGCCTTGAGCTTCAGCATGCGCTTCTGGTACTCCGTCAAGTTCGCGCTCGCGCCGATCATGCGGTCCGCGGCGTCGACGTCGATCTTCATCGTGCGCCCATCCTCGCCGCCCGCGCGCGCGCCAGGGTCCGCGGCGCCCGCGCCCTCGCCCTTCTCGTCGTCTTTCGCCCCGGGCGCTCTCTTCTTCGATTTCGCGGCGTCGCGCTTCTTCTTCGCCTCGTTCGCGAGCGCTTTCTCAACCTTGGCGCGGTACAGCTCCACGCGCTCGAGCTCGTACTTCGCCGCGTGCTCCGCGGGGTCCAACCCGACCGCCTTGAGGTACATGCAGAACATCGTCGTCGTCGCGTTCGCGAGCGCGACGTGGACCTTCGCGCGCTCCAGCGGCGTCAGCGCGGCGTCGAGGTCGTCCTTCTTCACGCGGAGCAGCGGTTCCAATTTTTCCTCCACCGCCGCGATCGCAGCCTCGTACTTGGTGAGCTGCTCTTTGATGTCGTCGGGGAGAGGGGGGATGTCGTCGAGCTCGACTTTTTCCGCGTTGTCCGGCCAGATCCCTTCCTCGATCGGGTCGACGTCGCGTTTGGGCGCCATCGCGTCGGTGGTCGGAGCGCGCGCCGGGGGCGAATGCGCGCGATCGAGGGCGGCGCGGCGGAAGACTTGAAAAAGCGCGAGAAAAATCGACGACTGGCCGCAGTCTCGCTCGCGCCGTCGACGACGACATGGCGTCTTCGGAGGCGAACGCCGCCCCCGCCGCGAAGCGGCACAAGCTCGTGGGATGCAAGAACTTCGTGCGGAACAACCCAAAGTCCGACCTGTTCACCATGCGAAAGTTCCACCACGTCGAGTTCTGGTGCGCGGCGACGACGGCGGCGACGACGACGACGACGACGACGCGCCTCATCTTCATTCTTTTTTTTATCCTTCCGACACGTCACCGCGCATCCAACGACCGCGCTGGTCATCCCCGTCGTCCCTCGTCGCCATCCCGCGTCATCGCTCGCCCCACGTCTGACCATGCCTCCCCACCCCCGACGCAGGTGCCGCGACGCGACGACGACCGCGGCGCGATTCGCCGTCGGCCTCGGCATGCAGCTCGTCGCCAAGTCGGATCTCACCACCGGAAACGCGCGATACGCGTCGTACGTCCTGCAGTCGAACGACCTGCGGTTCGTGTTCAGCGCGCCGTACGACGTGCCCGAGGGCGAAGAGAACGATGACGCGCGCTCGTCTATGTTCGAGAAATCCGGCGTCCTCAGCCACGACCCGTCGTTCATGCGGACGTTCTGCGAGAGGCACGGACTCGCGGTCAGGGCGGTGTGCCTTCTCGTCGACGACGCGGCGGTTGCATTCTACACGTCGGGGCAACACGGCGGCCGCTCGCCGGCGTTCTCGAGCGCGTTTAATGACGGCCACACGTTGATCCTCAATTATAACGGAACGACGAGCTGCGATGGGTTCGCGCGGGTGTCCGAGGTCGAGCTGTACGGCGACGTCGTGTTGCGATATTACAGCTTCCACGCCGGCGAAAAAAACGCAAAGCCGAAAACGTTCTTGCCCGGATACGAGGACGTGCCTCTGGAGCCGCCGCATACCACGCCGCTGACGTACGGTCTGCAGCGCTTAGACCACGCGGTCGGGAACGTCCCCAATCTCCTCGAGACCGTGGACTACATCACCGCGATGACCGGCATGCACGAGTTCGCGGAGTTCACCGCGGAGGACGTCGGCACCGTGGACAGCGGATTAAACTCGATGGTCTTGGCGAACGACGACGAGATGATCTTACTGCCGGTGAACGAGCCGACGTTCGGGACGAAGCGGAAGAGCCAGATTCAGACGTATCTGGAGTGCAACAACGGCGCGGGGTTGCAGCACCTCGCGCTGAAGAGCGACGACGTGTTCGCGACCGTGCGAGAGATGCGAAAACACGGCGGCGGCCGCGGCGGGTTCGAGTTTCAGAAACCCGCGAGCGCGGACTACTACGCGAACCTCAAGGCGCGCGTCGGCGAGGACGCGCTGACGGAGAGACAATTTAAGGAGGTCGAGGAGCTCGGGTTGCTCGTCGACCGCGACGATCAGGGCGTGCTCGTGCAGATCTTCACGAAGCCGCTCGGGGACCGGCCCACGGTGTTCATCGAGATCATTCAGAGGATCGGATGTCTTCGCGAGGTGAAGTCGGCGGACGCGAACGCGCCGCCGAGGATCGAGCAAGCGGGCGGGTGCGGCGGGTTCGGCAAAGGGAACTTCTCGGAGCTGTTCAAGAGCATCGAGAACTACGAGCGGACGCTGAAGATGTGAGCGAGCTCGCTCGACGCGAGAGAGGAGATAGACGTGAGAGGCGCGACGTCATAGACTAGCCGGCTCGGCGTCGCGACTGACGAGACGCGGGAAATCTAATAAGAGTCTACATTCCCGAGAACGGATTGGACGGGTCGTAACCCCCGCCGCCGCCGCCGCCGCCCATCTGCGACGGCTGCTGCTGCTGCGGTGGCATCCCCCCGTACTGCGGTTGCGGCGGCGGCATGCCTCCCATCTGGCCCACGCCGCCGCCCATCTGACCCACGCCGCCCATCTGACCCATGCCGCCCATCTGACCCATGCCTCCCATGCCTCCCATCTGCTGTTGCTGAGGCATTCCGCCGCCCATCTGACCGTGCATCATCCCTCCTTGCATCATTCCACCGCCTCCCATCCCTCCTTGCATGCCTCCTTGCGCGGCGCCGGTCATCATCCCTCCACGCGGCGGGAATCCGTTTTGCGACGGCGGCGACGGCGTCGGCGCGGGCGCGGGTTTCGGCGGCGGCGCTTTCACGCCGATCGCGCCGCCGAGCTCCGCGAACGGGTCCGGTCCGGCGTCTACCGCGGGCGCGGCGGAGGACGACGCGCCGAACGGGTCCGCGAGGGGCATCCCGCCCATCTGACCCATCTGACCCATGCCGCCGCCCATCTGACCCATGCCGCCGCCCATCTGACCCATGCCGCCGCCCATCTGACCCATGCCGCCGCCCATCTGACCCATCTGACCCATGCCTCCGCCCATCTGACCCATCTGACCCATGCCACCGCCCATCTGACCCATCTGACCCATGCCGCCGCCCATCATCCCTTGCTGCGGTGGCATTCCTCCGTACGCGCCGTGCTGCTGCTGCGGCGGCATTCCTCCGTACCCTTGCTGTTGCGGCATCGCGTGCTGTTGTTGCGGCATCCCGCCGTATCCCCCTTGGTTAGGCATCATGCCGCCGCCCATCTGCTGCTGCGGCATCATCCCACCGCCCATATGCTGCTGCTGCTGCGGCATCATCCCTCCCTGCGGCATCATCCCGCCCATCTGCGGGTGGCCCATACCCGGCATCGCGCCGCCTCCGAACCCGCCGCCTCCGCCCTGGGGCATCCCCGCGGGCGCGGAGAAGAAGTCGTCGGTGATCATCTTCATGACGCGCGGTTTCGGCTTTTCCGGCACCGCGGGAGGAGGTTCGGGCGCGGCGGGCGCGGGCGCGGGCGCGGGCGCGCCGAACGGGTCGTTCGCGGCCGCGGGCGCCGCGGCCGCGGGCGCGGGAGCGCCGAACGGATCGTTCGCGTCCGCGACCAGCGCGGGCACCGGCGCTGCGGACGCGGGCGGGTCGCCGAACGGATCGTTCGACGCCTCAGGCACGGGCGGCGCGGCCGATCCCGTCCCGAACGCGTCCCATCCGCCCATCCCCTGGTCCGCCGCGGCCGCGGGCGCGGGCGCGGGCGCGGGAGCGACGTTTTGAGCCGCCGCCTTGAACTTCGCTGCGGCGACGCCGAACGCGGCCCACGACGGCGGCGACGAGGGCGGGGCGGGCGCGGGCGCGGGCGCGGGCACCTGCGAGGGCGCTGGCGCCGGCGCCGCCGCCGGCGCGGGAGTCGGCTGCGCGACGCCCCACTGTTGCTGTTGCGGCGGCTGTTGATACTGTTGCTGTTGTTGGTACTGCGGTTGCTGCTGGTACGCTTGCTGCAGTTGCTGCTGGTAAGCTTGCTGCGGTTGTTGCTGGTACTGCGGTTGCTGCTGGTACCCTTGCTGCGGCTGCGATTGGTACTGCTGCTGCTGGTACCCCTGCTGCTGCTGCGGCGGCGGCGGGTTCGGCGCGGCCAACGCGGCGGCCAAATCCACCGGCGCCGCCGCAGCGGGCGCGGGCGCGGGCGACCCCATCAAACCGCCCAGACCGAACGGGTCGTCGTTCACCGCCGCCGGCGCCGCGGGCGCGGGCGCGGAGAACTGCATCTGATGCGGCGGCTGCGACTGCGACTGCGACTGCGACTGCGACTGCGACTGCGGCGGCGGCGCGGCGCCTTCGTTCTCGAACTTCTTCTCGTGAAACGCCGCGCGAACGAAATCCTTCAGCTGCCGCATCTTCGTGTTCATGACGATCGGAAACCGGCGCTCCATGTCCGTCCCGGTCCACCCCGCGAGGTACCTCGCCCGCGCGTAATCGTTTCCGCACCGAGACAGCATCGCGACCTCGTCCGCGGTGAAGTACGACCCGCTGATCGACTTCACGCGGAACTGAAACTCCCTGTGGACGCCCGAGCACGTCGTGCACAGGAACGTGCCGAAGGTGACGCACGCGTACTGCGGCGCGAGAGACCCCGGGCCGACGCACGTCACGCATCGCTTGTTCCCGGGCAGCTTGAGGAGCTCCCGCAGGGCCTTCTCGTGCTTCGCGTTGAGCCTATCCGCGGCGGAGGACATCGCGCAGGCCCCGGGTCGGTCAGATCTCCGCCGACGCTTCGACGGTAATTCGTTCTGCTCTTCTTGTTCAGCAGTTGGCACGCGCGTCTCTTGTCGCGCGACGAACGCCAGAGATTGTCCTCGCTCGGTTCGACTCGACGACGCGCTCGATCGCGGGTCGCGCGCGGGTTCGACGCTTCCGGGGTTTGAAGATCGACGCGGAGAAGCGGGCGTCGCCGCTCGCGTCTCAGATCTGACGCCGTCGTCGTCGCCGCGCCGTCGTCGTCCCGTCCGAGCGACGGCAGGGCGGGCTGGGAGTCAACGAATAAAAAATTTCGCGATCTCCAAAAAGTCGCTCCGCTGCGCTGCTGCGTCGGCACTTCACGGACGCGCGCGGGCGCCGCGCGGGACGATGACGCGCTTCCGCGACGTCACGGACGCGGTCGACGGCGACGACGGCGCCTCGGACGACGACGACGACGACGCGTTCGATCACGTCGGGCACAACGGGATATACGGCGCCGCGACGCTCGCGCGCGTCGCGTCGTACGCGTCGTGGGACGGCGCGAGCTCGCCGCTTCGCGCGTCGCTCGAGCTTCGACCGGGCGCAGGGCGCGCGTCGCGAGCGCTGCTCGAGGAGGAGGAAGAGGAAAACGAGGACGCGAGCGGCGGCGGCGGCGGCGGCGGCGGCGGCCGCGGCGATGAGGAGCTCGACCGCGCGCTGACGGGTCGACGCGGCCGCGCGTCGACGCCCGCGTTTCTCGACGCGACAGATCCGGGCGCGGCGGCGACGCTCGCGGTCGCGCGGCTCATCGCCGCGTCCGGCCGCGACGCGCTCCCGCGCGGGCTCGTGAGACTGATGTCGCCGTACCAATCGAACTTTCGAGAGCTGAAGCGCATCGGTAAGGGCGGTTTCGGGAGCGTGTGCGCCGCCGTCGGGAGGCTCGACGAGCGCGCGGTCGCGGTGAAGAAGATTCACTTCAAGTCCGCGGTGCCCCCCTGGGCGGACAACGACTCGTTGGAGCTCCTGCACGAGGACTTGCTGCGCGAGGCGCGCGCGCTCGCGCTGATGGATCATCCGTGCTTGGTGCGGTATCACGGCGCGTGGATCGAGCCGAGGTGGAGCAAGCTGGCGGGCGTCGGCGGCGGCGGCGGCGGCGGCGGCGGCGGCGGCGAGCGGAAAAAAAACGGCGTCGGCGGCGCGATCGTGCGACGCGACAGCGCGCTCAGTTTCTCGAGCGCGTCGTCGTCGGACTCGGAGACGGAGTACGACGACACGACGAGCGGGAGCGTCGCGCTCGCGGGGAGCGAGAGCGCTTTGACGCTCTCGCCGAAGAAGACGACGCGCGAAGATTTAAATCGAGATCGAAGCGGCGACGACGGAAGCGGCGGAGATCGCGACCCCGCCGCCGGCGACTCGGGCGACGCGTCGGTCGTGTGGACGCCCGCGGCGCTCGCCGCGAACGCGTTCCGCTGGCCGTACACGCTCCATATCACCATGGAGCTCTGCCCCGGGAGCACGCTGAGGGATTGGATCCGGCTGCGCCCGCGAGGGGACGTGCAGCCCGGCGCGTTGAATCATATTTTTTCATCCGTCGCGGAGGCGCTGCGATACGTCCACGCGCACGGGATCATCCATCGGGACGTGAAGCCCGCGAACGTGCTCGTGCACCGCGGCGTTTCTCCGTTAGAGCCCGCGGTGAAGCTGATGGACTTCGGGTTGGCGGTGTTTCACGAGAAGAACGCGAGCGGCGCGGGGAGGGAAGGAGGACGGCGCGGAGACGGCGACGGCGACGGCGGCGGATCCGACGGCGGCAGACCCGACGCGTTCACCGTGGGCGTCGGCACCGCGACGTACGTCGCGCCCGAACAACGCTCCGGGCATGGGCGTTACACCACCGCCGTCGACATGTACTCCCTCGGCGTCGTGCTCGTGGAGATGATCACTCCGCTCGGGTACGACGCCACGGAGAGCGAACGCCTGACGGTCATCGCGGAGGCGAAGGCGTCCAACTTGCGCGAGGACGCCGTCTCTCGCTTTCCGAAACACGCCGGCTTGGCCAAGGAGCTCATGTCGATCGACCCGAAGCTGAGACCGAGCGCGGCCGCGGTGCTGAAACGCTGGCCGCGGATCAACGGCGGCGGCGTCGATCGCGGGAGCGGCGGGGTGGGGGGGAGAGCCAGAGCCGCGCCGGCGCGGACGCAGTCGCTCCCGGAGATGGACTTGGCGGCGTTGGCGGAGAGCGTGGAGCTCGAAAACCAAATTCTCGCGGAGGAGACGACGGCGAATCCGAATTCGCGACGACCGAACGGCGGCGGCGGCGGCCGGTCGCGATTGGGGCTTCCGGACGCGCGCCGCCTCGATCGCTTAAACGAGGGCAGCGGCGGCATCGACGTCGGGACCGCGTCCAGGGACGACCTCGCCGCGGAGGTCGTGCGCCTGCAAGAGAGGCTCCTCATGCTCGGCGACGAGTGGCGCAGCAACGTCGTCGATCCGCCGGTTGTTATTCGCGAAAACGCGTAGGTATTACGATACGTAGCAATAATGTATTACGAAGGTACGGAAGTACATCGCACGACGTCGTCGGCGGCGAGCTACCGTCGTCATCGCGTGGTCGCGGCATCCTCGGACTTCAGCTCCGCGAGTATGCGCCTCAGTTCCTTCGTGAACGCGCGCGGGTCCTCGCTCGTCGCGTTCGCGTCCGTCTCGATCGCCTCGAAGTCGAGCTGCTTCCGTTCGCTCCCGCCCGCGCCGCCAAACTTGAGGATCGTGCCGCGCGTCGGCTTCTTCCCCGCCGAATCGTCCTCGCGCGGGAGCCCGTCGGCGTCCAGACCGAGATAGGTCTTCATCTCGTCGGTCATGTCCCCGCGTCGCTTGGTCGCCGAGTTTCCGATCGACGAGTTTCGAGCGGCGGAGTCGTCCAAAAACACCCCCGCGTCGGCGCCCGCCGTCGTCGCGCCAGCCGCCGACGCCGACGCCGACGCCGACGCGGCCGTCGACGTCGACGTCATCTCGCGCGAGCTCTCCGCGGATTCAGCGGATTCCGACGGCGACGCCGCCGCGTACCCCGGTCGTCCGAACGCGCTCCCCGGCGTGCGCTCGCGCTCGGCGTCGAGAGCGATTCGCGTCTCCTCCGTCGCGCGCGAGTCGTCGTCGTCGACGACGACGACGACGATCGATTCCCCGACCGCGGCGGCGCTGACGGCCGCCGCGGTGGGCGACGGCGGCAGCGGCGCCGGCGGCGACAGCGGCGAATTTTCGTCGACCGCGACGCGCGCGCCGCGAATCGGCGGCAGCAATCCGCGCCGCGTCGCCGGCGGGTCCAGCCTCGGCGTCGCCGGCGCGAGCGTCGGTCCGACGGCGGTCGCGAACGCGGCGGTCGGGGTGGGCATCGCGTCCTCCTCATCCTCCTCATCATCATCATCATCATCATCATCATCGACTTCGACCATCGACGGGAATTCCAGATCGGAGTCGGAGTCGACCTCCTCCGCGGCGTCCGACGCGAGCTCGGATTCGACGTCGACGCCGACGTCGACTTCGGCGACGTCGTCGAGCGCGACGTCTTCCATCCTCAATCGCGTCGCGATCGCGCTGACGACGCTTTCGTCGAGCTCGGTCTCCTCGTCGTACACCCGCGTGCGCGACTTTCTCCGGTCTTTCGCGAGCCGCGGCGGCCGCGACGGCGGCGGCGGGAGCGACGACGACGCGTCCCTCGCCGGCGTCCGCGTCGGACTCGCGTCATCATCCGCCCGTCGGTCGCGATCTTCCTCCTCCTCCGCCTCCGCGCCCGCCTCCGCGAACAGCGCGCGCCTCGACGGCGACGCGTCGTCGTCCTCCTCCTCCGCCGCCGCTGCCGCCGCCGCCGCCGCCGCGTCGACGACGACGACCGCGTTCGCGGCGGCCACGCGGAGCGGCTGCCCCGCGCGGTACACCGCGATCGGGGATATGTCCGCGAACGCTTTGATCCCCGGTGCGCTCCCGGCGTCGTCGTCGTCTTCGAACGAGTCGATGGACGCGTCGCCGTCGCCGCCGGCGTCGTTCTCCGTCAAGTCGTCCGTCGACGTCGCCGCGTCCGTCGCCGTCGTCGCCGGCTCCGGCTCCGTCGCGCACCGCGAGAACAGCTCGTAGAGCCCGCTCTTCACGCCGTCGAACGAGAGGCTCTTCTCCAGCGCGGCGGTGAACGACACGGCGTCGGCCGCGTCGCCGTCGTCGTCGTCGACGAAGACGCCGCGGTCGACGGCGACGCCAGCCGTCTTCTTCTTGCGCCCGCGCGCGCGTCGCGGCGGCGGCATCGGCGACGGCGACGGGATCCGCGCGGACTGCCAGCGCACGGGCGAGAACTCTTCGAGTTGGTCGTCGTCGCCGCCGTCGCGCGCCGTCCCCGCTCTCCGACCGAGGCCGACGCGCGCGCGCCCGCCGCGGACGCTCTCGCCGCGCGTCGTCGTCGGCGGCGGGCGCGCCGTCTGCGGGGCCCACGGCGACGGCACGGACGACGCCGGGCTCGGGTCCTCCTCCTCCTCCTCCTCCTCCGTCGGCGACCACGGCGACCACGGCGACGACAACACCGGGTCGCGCGCGCCCGCCAGCGCGGCGGTCGTCTTCCTCGCGAAGTACTCGTGGCAGCGGAACTCCTCTCGCGCTTCCTTCGCGAGCCTTCGCGCGGCGACGAGCTCGTCCTCGGACGCGTCGTCGCCGTCGCCGTCGCCGCCGCCGCCGCCGCCGCCGCCGGGGGTCGTGATGTCCGCGGGGCACTCGTTCGCGATCTTCTCGATCGTGCAGTCCGCGAGCTCGCGCGCGCGCGCCGCCTCCGCGTCGTCCTCCAGCGACGCCGGTAAAATCGTCGCGCCGCGCGGCGTTCGGTCGACGCCGATCATCGCCTCCTCACCCTCCTCCTCCTCCTCCTCCTCGCGCGCGCCGCCGAAGACGTCTTTGACGTCCGGGAAATTCACGCGCGCGGCGGAAGGGGACTCGAACGGGCACCGCGAGCGTCGTCGCGGCGCGGACGCGCGCCGCCACCGCCGGATGAACCCTCTCGCGTCGTACGACATCGCCCGTCGCGGCGTCCCAGAATTTGAACGCGAGCCAGCCGCGGACGAGAGAGAAACGAAATCGAAACGCTCGCTCGGCTCAACGGGCGTGGCGCGTGGCGCGTCGCGACGTCGGGAGTGTCCGACTTTATTTCCGGGCGGGGCGATTCCTCCCACATGCATCACGTCTCGCCGCGCGCGCCTCGCCTCGCCTCGCGCGCGCTCTCGTCGCGCCATGGCGACGACCGAGGAAGTCGACGCCAACGGCCCGCCGCTGCGCCCGCTTCGCGACGCGGGCGTCGCGCGCGCGCCGGACGACGCCGCGGACGCGTCGCACCAAAACGTCCGCATTCCGGACGGATTCGCCCCCGGCCCCTCCGACGCGCTCCTCGTGATCGACGTCCAGTGCGACTTCTGCGCCGGTGGCGCGCTCGAGGTACCGGGCGGAGACGACGTCGTGCCCCTGTGCAACGCGCTGATACGCGCGTTTAAACGCGATCGCGTCGTGTACTCCCAAGACTGGCACCCGCCCGCGCACTCGTCGTTCGCGAGCGCGCATCCAGGGCGCGCGCCGTTCGAGACGATCGACGCGCCGTACGGCGCGCAGACGCTGTGGCCGGATCACTGCGTGCGAGGCACGCGCGGCGCGAGCTTCCACCCGAAGCTCATCGTGGACTGGGGCGAGGAGAGCGAGGAGAGCGGGCTCGGGCCGTGGGTCGTGCGGAAAGGGTTCAGACCGTCCGTAGACTCGTACTCGGCGTTTTACGAAAACGATCGGTCCACGTCAACGGGGTTGGCGGAGCATCTGAAGTCCATCGGCGTTCGAAGGGTGTTCGTGTGCGGCCTCGCGCTCGATTACTGCGTGCGGTTCACCGCGCTGGACGCGCGGACGGCCGGGTTCGCGACGGTGCTCGTTTGCGACGCGACGCGCGCGGTGGGCGCGGGGGATCCGGGAACGCGGGCCGAAGCGACTGAGACGACGACGCGGGAACTGGAGGACGCGGGGGTCGTCGTCGTCGACGGCGGCGCCCTGGGCGGGGTCTGAGCCGCGCGGATCGGGGGGAGGGGAGGGGGGAGTTGTAGCGTGATAGGAGTGGTAAAGAGAGGCGAGATGGACGAGGCGTATGAGTGACTACGGAAACGAAGAAGCGTTGGTTCTCATCCAGTCATCAACTTTTCGTTCGCGTTCGACGAGTCCAAGTGTCTGGCAGATCTTCGACGCGCCGACAGCGACATCACTCTTCTTCGCGACAGAACCCGCCGCGGACGAACGAACGGACGTCGTCGGTCGTCCGCGCGTCTTCTCGGCATGGGGGGCACCGCGGGGCAGCGCCGCAACGAGAAGGCGGAGCGCGAGCAGGCGAAGAGGGACGGCGCCGCCGCGGCCGCGGCGAAAGCCGCGGAGGACGCGAGATGGGCGGGCTCGGAGAACAAAAAGACGCGCTCGCAGGCGAAGCGCGAGGAGGGCGACGCCGCCGCGGACGCGCGCGCGGCGTCCCGAGCGGAGGCGAAGCGCCTCGCGAAGCTCGAGGAGGAGGAGATCGCGGGGATGGGGAAGCCCAAGGGCGGCGGCGGGAAGAAGGGCGGCAAGATGACGCAGGCGGAGATCGCGGACGCGCGCAAGGCGGAGGCGAAAGCGGCGATGATCGCCAAGTACGCCAGGGCGAAAGAGGTGCGTTCTATACACCGGTTCCCATACGACCGCGTTGGCGTGGTGAACGCCGATCCTTAAGGACTTTTGCCGTCGTCTCTCTCCGCTCAACCCTCGCTTTCAATCCCCGCCCTCGACGCCTTTCAACTCCATCTGACGCCTTTGAACTCCACCCCGACATTCGCTCGTATGGAACGACCCTGAGGCGAAGAAGGAGACGAGCGAGGAGGCGTACGCGGCGATGGTCGACGTGAAGAACGAGAACAAAGAGGATAAGATCGAGGCGTCCGGGATCGACGCCGCGGTGGAGGCGATGACGGGGATGAGCGTCGGAGGAGGCGTTGGCAGGGGCGGAAGCGGCGCGAAGCCCGGGACGACGAACATGAAAGCCGCGTACGCGATGTTCGAAGAGCAGGAGCTGCCGCGCTTGAAGGAAGAGAGGCCGGGGTTGAAGATGTCGCAGTACAAGGAGGCGCTGCACAAGGCGTTCCAGAAGTCGCCGATGAACCCGCAAAACTTCGAGCGATGATGAAGCGGCGGCTGCGGCCGCGTTTGGCGACGCGCACGAGGACGAAACGTATTACGAATCTTATTATTAGACGCGGTCGCTCGCGCGCGTTCGATCTCTCTACCTCTTCCCGCCGCCGCCGAGCCCGTCTAACGGGTTCGGTATCGAGTTCTTCACCTTATCCGCGAGCCCTCGAAACACGCCGATGCCCTTGTTCACCGGCGACTTCGCCGCCGCGGCGTTGTACAGCGCGGACTCGAGATCCTCCGCCCCCGGCCGCCGTCGCATCGCGCCGACCTGTTGGTATTCCTTCCCGTCGTCTTTGACCAGAATGCGCCACGGCGACCCCTCCGGGGCGCCGCCCCTGACGCACTTAAACACCGCGCCCTCCGTCGTGTCGCCCGCGATGCCCTGAATCGCGAGCGGGAGGTACGAGTACACGACGCTGAACGAGTTCGCGAAGGTTTCGTCCGGGGTCGCCGTCGACGCTGCCGGCGTCCCGCGGAAGGAGACGCCGCCGTCGCCGGCGTGCTCCCACTCCACGTTCACGCCCACGATCGGCCTGCCGCCGCTGAGCTCCGCGACTCGACGCGCCTTGCCGATCTCGTCGTCGGGGACACCCACGAGCGCGACCGCGCCGGTCCCGACCGCGAGGTCGCAGCCGTCCCCGCGGAGGGCGTCGTCCAACGAGACGTGCTCCGCGATGCCGTCGTTCTCCGCCTTCGTCTTCCCCGCCGCGAGCGTCGCGCACTCCGGGTCGCCGTACACCGCGGTGGAGACGGTCCCGCCGCCGCACGCGCCTCTGACCATCGCGCAGACCGCGCTCGGGGCGTCGGACGCGAGCGGGAGCTCGACGGCGACGCGGAGCTGCGCGAGGGATTTGCCGCTGGATTTACGTTTTTTTCCGCTCTTCTTCGCGCGCTTGGAGACGACCGCGTCGATCGCGACGCGCGCTTGCTCGAACGATTCGTCTCTCGAGACGGGGGGGAGGAGCTCCATCTCCCCGCCCGCGCCCGCGGCGGCGCCGCCGGCGACGACGACGAGAGAACGACGAGACGACGACGACGACGCGGCGACGGGGATCATCGTCTCGCGACGACGACGACGCTGGATGTTTTTCCGAGACGGAACGATCGACCCGAACGTCGTCGACGACGGCGCGCGCGTGCGCGCCGCCGCGGCGGCGGCGGCGGCGCGACGAGCGGGCGCGATCGGCGCGAAGGACGCGCGCGACATCGCCATCGTCCGCGTCGGCGCGCGCGCGAAGTGGCGGACGCCGCGCGCGCGCAACCCTACTAATCAAATCTCTATCCACTATGATGATATCGAGTCCTGTCTAACAACACTGCGTGGTGGTACACGAATCATAACCAGATCTCCTCCCGTTCCGCGCCCCAACCGAACGCGAGCGTGGAGACGCCGTCGACGCACGGCTCGGGCACGTACATCCTCAGCGTGTCCAACCCTCCCGCCCAGACGCGGATCGACGGCGTCCCGCGCCCGCCCCTCGCCGCGGAAGCCTCGACGGCGACCGCCGTGAACGTCTCCGCCTCCGCGCGCGCGTCGAAGTCCTCCCCGGAGACTCTCTCGTGCCGCCACAGCTCCGCGCCGCTCCGGACGTCCCACAGCGCGACCGCCTCGGAGCCATAGATCCACGGACGTTGTGGATCGCGCACGTCGCGGCCGACGTCCATCGCGACGAACGTCTCGCCCGGGTCCATGCCGATCCGACGCCGCGGGTTAAAACTCGCGGACGCCGCGGCGTGATACGCAATCACCGGACCGCGAGATAACGCGCGGACGTCCCATCGCGACAGCCCGCCGTCCGCGCTCGCGGCGACGAAGTGCCCGGGGTGTGTCGAGAGCGGCGCGATGTCCGTCACCATCGACGACATTTTGCGCGAGCCGGCGTGGACGCGATGCTCGCGCGTGTCGATGAATTGAAACGCGCCGTTTCGCAGACCCAACGCGATGGTCTCCGCCGCGCCAGACGCGGAGTCCGTCCCCGAGGTGTCGCTCCAAAAGTCCACGTCCGACGCGATCGCGGTTGCGTTCGTGGAGCCGATGTCGTAGTCGTTTCGCCCGGTGCTATCTGAGTTCCACGTCGTCACGCTCGCTCGATCGCTCGTGCGCTCGTGCGCGGCGGCGACTCTCCCCGTTCGCATCGACGCGGACGCGTCGAATATCCCCACGCGTCTCCTCGTGGTATAACACGAAATCGCTCGCCTGACCTCGTCCCTCTGGGTGATATCGTACCACAACATCGTGACATGGCCTGTTTGATCGCGTCTCTGCCCGGCGGCCAGCACGTGTCGCATGTTTATACAGTCGAAGCCGAAGACGTCGACGGAGTTTGCGTCCGCGTCGTGCGGCCATTTTCTCGACAGCACGCGCACTCTGGCGTCGCACGGCTGCTGCCCAAAGAGCCGCAGAGATGGCCAATCGTCGGGGTCTAACGGTCGCAGCGTCGTCGCAGCGCACGCGCCCGGTCCCGACGTCGCGCGGACGTCGAAAACGGACATGCCATCGTGTCCCGCGACGAGAAGTTGCGTCGCGGAGGCGACGGGAAACCGCGAACTATTCCAGTCGTCCGTCGCGCCGTGTTCGCGGTCGGGTTCGGATTCGGAATCGGGAGACCGCGCCGCCTTCTCCGGCGCGTACAGAGGCAACACGGCGTTGTGACATCGCGCGTGATGCGAACGCGCGCCGATCGACCCGACGTGCGTCAGGCTTCTCGCGTGCGCGCGGAGCGCACGCGCGACGACGTCGCGACCGCCGCCGCCGCTGCCGACGCCGCCGACGCGACCGCCGAGCTCTCGTCGTCGCGTCGCGTCGCGCGCGCTCGGCGGCGGGGACCGCGGACGCGGCGCGCCGCTCGGCGGCGGGGACGCCGCCCCGCCGCGGTTGTTCGTTCGCGGCGTCCGGACGTCTTCGTCGTCGTCGTCGTCGTCGTCGTCGTGCGCGCGGCGGTCGCGTTTTTTCGTCAGCCTCCGATGCTTTCCCCGACCCCGCGCCGCGGCGCCGTCGCCGCCGCGACCGCCGCCGTGCCGTCCTCCGCGGCCGCGGCCTCTGCCGCCCCGACCGCGGAGGTGCGCGTTCTCGGGCGCGTGCGACCCGAGGTCGGGCCTGCGATGGAGCGCGACGTCAGAGATCCTCGAGGGAAGAGAGCTCGGACGGCGAGAGGAATATCGTATCGGGGAGGGCGACAGGACGCGCGGACGGGAGCGGGGGTGACGAAGGCGCACCGCTGAAGCCCGCGCGCGACGTGCTCGGGCTGCAGCGCGAAGTACCGCTGCCTCTCCTCGTCCCAGTAGAACCCGGGAAGGTCGCGCATCGCCCCCCGCGCGGCCGGGCGCCCCCGACGACTGAGACAGCCCCGGATCTCGGTCGTGACGTTGTTATTCATTCGTTCGTTCGTTCGCTCGTTTCGTCGGACGCGTCGCCGCGCGCGCCACAGCCGTCCGCGCGGCGCGATGGCCGCGGACGCGACCCCCCCCGCGCGCGCGATCCTCGACGCCGCGGCGCGCGACGACGCGAAATCCCTCCTCGCGCTCCTCCCCGAGCGCGACGCGCCCGTCGCGCGAAGGACGACGGAGACGACGCGAGATCCGTGGACGCGCGCGGGACCGATCCACCTCGCGTGCGAGCGCGGCGCGATGGACGCGCTCGCGGCGCTCCTGCGCGTCGGGTTCGACCCCGCGGACGTCGACGACGAGGACGCGACGCCGCTTCACTACGCCGCGGCGCGAGGCGAAGTCGCCGCGATCGACGCGCTGCTCGCCCTCGGCGGCGGCGTCGACGTCGACGCGACGGACGTCCGCGGGCTGACGCCGCTGCACTTCGCGTCGGGAGCGGGAAAGCCGCTCGCGGTCGTCGCGCTGTTACGCGGCGGCGCGCGCGTCGACGCGAAATCGCGCGACCACCGCGCGCCGTTGCACTACGCCGCCGCGGTCGGGTGCGTCAAGTCCGCGGAGGCGCTCCTGCGCGCGGGCGCGGGCGCGGACGCGGACGGCGGCGCGAGGACGAAGACGAAGACGCCCGTCGTCGTCGCCGCGGAGAGGCGATGGGAGTTCGTCGTGGAGGCGCTCGCGCGCGCGGGCGCGGCGTTGGACGACGACGTGAAGGCGATCGCGCGGAAGGAGCGGTGGGCGATCGCGGAGGGGTGGGGGCCGCCGCCGCCGGCGACGAAGACGGCGGTCGAGGCGACGGCGGCGATGGCGGCGACGGCGACCGCGACCGCGACCGCGACCGCGACGCCGCGGTCGACGCGCGTCACCGCGTCGGTCGCGAAGACTTTCACGACGACGACGACGACGACGCGTCCCGCGTCCGGTCGTCGTCCAGTCAGCGGACGAAAGACCGTCGCCGCCGGGTCGACCGTCGCGGCGCGGCGGCGGGCGCCGGCGCCGCCGCCGGAGCCTCCGGTTCCCGAGGTGAAGCCGCCGCCGGCGCCGAACGCGACGTTCCTCGCGCGGTACGGGCTCGCGGACGTCCCGGGGTTGTTCCAGGCGTGATGACGCGAGGCGCGGGCGGGCGGACGACGAGGGTGCGTAGCGTTAGGTATCATTACAGCGAGCCGCGCGCGTCCGCCTTTGGCGGGCGCGGGCGAGTAAAAAAAGAATGCGTCGTCGCGTCGCGACGACGCCTCTCGTCGTCGTCGTCGTCGTCGTCGTCCGTTCGTCCATCACGCCTTGGCCTCCGCGCGTTTCTTCTTCAAATCGTCCACCGCGGCTTTGATCGCGTCCTCCGCGAGCATGCTGCAGTGTAGCTTCACCGGGGGCAGGTTCAGGTGCTTCGCGATCTCGTTGTTTTTTATCGTCACCGCCTGATCGATGTGCTGCCCCTTCACCCACTCCGTGACGACGCTGCTGCTCGCGATCGCGCTGCCGCACCCGAACGTCTTGAAGCACGAGTCCACGATGTTCCCGTCGTCGTCGACTTTGATCTGGAGCTTCATGACGTCCCCGCACGCGGGCGCGCCGACGAGCCCCGTCCCGACGTTCAGATCTTTCTTATCGAACGACCCGACGTTGCGAGGTTTCTCGAAGTGGTCGACGACGTTCTTGTGGTACGCGCGCGCGGTCGCCGCGGTCGCCGCGGGGGCGACGTGAGCGCGCGACGTCGACGCCGCGGCGCTCAGGAGCGCGCGTCGCGCGATGCTCATCGCGGCCGAGATCTATCCTACGCGCGAGAAGCGCCCTTTTCTTTCCGCCCTCTTTCCTTTAGGGTTGCCGACCGACGCGTTCGCGGCGCGCGCGGGCGTCGGGTTCGCTGTCGCGACGACTGGGCGGCGACGGCGCGCGGAGGACGACGGGCGAGACGAGCGTCGAGAGCGTTTCCGTGGCGTGAGACGTGAGCTCGCGCGCGTGGAAGTGCGACGCGGAGGAGGAACGCCCACCACGTCATCGTCGTTGCTTCGCTTCTCGCTGATCTCGACCACGCAGTTGCGCTAATTCGAATGAGACTAAAAACCAATATGATAGCGTATGAGTACAGTACGCGTAATTTCGTTTGGAATCTTAGTCTGAGTACGCGAGCGCAGTAGTTGTACTGACCGGTCGACCGGCCCGCTTCTGCCGACGTGGACGCCACGGCGATTCCCCTCATCGGAAGAGACCACACGCCCACGCACGCCCGACGCACACGCATCGCACGCCTCCTTCGTCTCTTCGCAGACGTCGCGCCGCCTTCTCACATCCTCCCGTCTCATCCTCGACGCTCACGCGCGCCATGTTCTCCGTCGCCGCATCCTCCGCATCGATCGTTCCGCATCGGGTGTCAGTTCGCGGGCCCGCCCCGCGCGCGACCCGAGGCGCGTTCCACGTCGTCGCGGTGCGTCCCCGATCGTTCGCTCCCGCGATTTCTTTCGTTCGCGGCGTTCACGCATCGACGCGATCGGCGCGAGCGACGCCGCGCCGCGCGTCGCGTCGCCCGCGCGTCGAATCCGGCGCGATCTCGGCGTGCGCTTTTCGCGGAAAGAAAACTAACTTTTTCTCTCTTCCCCGACACGACTTTCCCGGAACGCCCAGGGCACCGGCAAGGGGTTCCAACATCAGACGCACCACAAGGACACGAGGCAGGAGATCAACTACGAGAAGATGATCCCGGGATACGCGGAGATGTCCAGGCCGCAGAAGTTCCGCGCGCGTCGCAGCGTCAAGCAGGTCCGTCGCGTCGACGACGTTCGCGCGACGATTGGACGCGATATTTCCTCCCATCGCCTCGTCAGCACTTTTTATCTATCCCCCCCCAGTTCCCTTCGACTTACTCGCTCCCTCCGTCCGTCGTCCACTCGCGCAGATGATCAACAAGATGGAGAACGACCAAGCGCAGAAATCCGCGGTGAGGAACACGTCGGATTTCGCGAAGAAAGTCTACGCCGCGTTCAACGATTGCGTCGCGCGGTGCGAAGGCCCCGACTGCGTCAACGAGTGCAAGGTCGAGTGGGGGATGGATCAATAAAAATCGATCGATCGATCGATCGAACGCGTCCGGGGGTCGAGCGGCGGTCTGCGCGCGACGACACGCCGCCCTCCCTCCCGCGATCGCGCTTCTCGGCCGTCGTGAACGCGGACACGAGAGACGCGAGGGACGCGCTGCTTCATGTGCACGTCTGTGCTTCGGACGACGCGTGTAAGTTACTAATAATCATCTGAGAACGAAGAGAAAAACGAACACTTCTCATCACCCGCGCCCGCGTCAACACCGAGTGAAACTATCGTCCTCGCTATCCACGGCACCCTCCACGGCACCCCCCACGGCACCCCCTTCGTCGTATCCGTCTCCCTCCGCGAAGTACGCGTCCTCCGCGTCCTGCGTCGCCTCGCGCGCGTGCCAATCGTCCAACGACCGATCGGCGTCGATCGCCGCGTAGTCCGCGCCGGGGTCCATTCCGTCTGACGAGGGTCGACGGTCCGCGCGAGGCGACGTCGGGGTGGATTTGAAAGGCGTCAGAAGCGGAGTTGAAAGGCGTCACGGTGCGTCGGGATTGGGATTGAAACCGAGGGGTGATGGGCGGAGAGACACGCCGGGAGATAAAGTCCTCAAGAAACGGCGTGCACCGCGCGAACGGGGTCGTATGGGGACCAGTGTGAAGTGTGAAAAACGCGCCCAAGTACCGCTCGCGCATCGTCCGCGCGAACGCCGCGAGCTTCGCGTCGCGCTCCGGGTCGGCGACGACGGACGCGATCGCCGAGCGGTTGATCTCTCGAGTCGTCCCGGTTCCACAAGACGACGGTTCGCATCCCCCGAGACGACGGTTCGCGTCCGCGTCGTCGTCGTCGTCGTTTCCTCGCGCCCACCCCTCGACGGCGGCGCGTCGGAGCTGATCCGCCGTGGCGCGGCCGCTCGCGCCGCGGCGGCCCCCGGGACCGACCGCCTCCACGACGACCCCGGGGCGCGAGGCGGCGTCGGTCGCCGCCGCCGGCGGCGGTTCGTCTTCCAGAGGCGGTTCGTCTTCCGCGTCAATATCCTCGACGCGCTCGCGCTCGCGCAACGCCGCGCGCTGCCGCGAGAGCAGCGCCGCCGCGGCTCTCTCGTCCTCGCGCTCGAGCATCGCGAGCGAGACGGCGTGCGACGCCCCCGCGCCGTCCGTCGCCGTCGCCGTCGCCGTCGCCGTCGAATTCAAATTCAAATTCGAGTTCGAGTTTGAGTCCGCGCGCGCGGGCGCGCCGACGAACGTCTCGAACAGCAGCGGCTCGCGGCGACGCAGCGCGTCCTCGTGGAAGTACCCCGCGGGCTCGAGCGAGGATCGCATGTGCGCCAGACGTCTGTTGCGCGCCGTCGCCGTCGTCGTTCCCGTTCCCGTTCCCGTTCCTCCCGTCGTCGTCGTCGCGCCCTCCTTGAGTCTGTTCAGATGGAAATCGCACTCGTACGAGCTCCCCTCGAGGTGCCCGAACGCGGCGAGCAGGCGCGACCGCGGGACGAGGTGGCCGTGCCGCTCGAGGAGTATCGACGGCTCGCGCGCGTAGAGATCTTCGACGTACCGGCGTCTGCACGCGACGGAGTCTTCCCATCCGTCGCCGCGGAGGACGGACGCGGGGACGCGGAGGTCGGACGCGCTCGCGAGCGCGGTCAGGACCGACGCCGTCGTCGTCGGTGACGCGTCGTCGTCCTCGAGCAGCGCGCCCCACGCCGCCATCGCTCTCCGCGCGCGCGTCGGTCTGGGACGTCACGACGACTGCGAGTCCTGCCTGGCCGCGTGGCGGGCGAAAAATCTGGCACTCGAGAAGGGGGAACAGCGTTTTCCAAGAAAAAATGAGCGTCACTCGCGTCCGCGCGCCCTCCACGCGCTCGCACCCTCTCGAGGGCCGCGTCCCCGCGTCGGTCAGGTTTACGTCGCACGCCCCGCGCGCGCCGATTCGAACCCGCTCGCGCGGCGTCGCTCCGAGGCCCGTCGAGGCGAGCGGTCGTCCGGGAGGGATCTGGTAAAAAATCAAATTCTCCATCGAAGCGTCGGTGCCTACAGCATCAGCGGAGAGCGACTCAGCATGGGCGTCCCCGCGAACAAGCTCCCGTCGCACGCCGACGCCGTCGAGGTCGCGACCGCGTGCGTGGAGACCGCGAACGCGCTGCTCCAGGCGCTGAAGGACGTCCGGAAGGGCGGCCCCGCGGGCGTCGCCGCGACGAGCGCGTCGCGCGAGGCGTCGCGAGCGCTCGCGCGCCTCGCGAAGACGACGCGATGCATCCTCGACGACGCCGAGGCGGCGTGGAAGGCGCAGGCGGAGGAAGCGGGCGCGCGCGGGTCGAGAGCGATCGCCGCGTCGTCGCCCCCGCAGAAGCAGAAGCAGAAGCAGAGGAAAGCGCCGCTGCCCGCGGCGGCGCGCCCCGCGACCGCGCCGGCGACGGCGAGACGCGGATTAGGCCCGCCGGAGCGCGTCCCGACGCCGCCGTCGCGACGTTCGCCGTCGCCGTCCGTCTTCGGATCCCTGCGGTCGCCGCCCGTCGAGGCCCCGCTCGGATCGCTCGCGTCGCCGCTGCCGCCGGGCTTCCGCGTCCCGTCCGGGGACGGGGACGGGGACGGGGACGGGTACGGGGAAGAAGAAGACCTCCGCCCGCGGGGGCTGCGGCCGCCGACGCCGACGGCGGCGGCGGCGAACGCGGTCGCCGTCGCTGTCGCGGCGTCGCCGACCGCGGGGCTCGTCGTCGTCCGACCGGCCTCAGCTTCAGCCGCCGCGAAGACGAAGAGAGCGCCCACCGCGACGTGGGAGAAGCATCTGTCGAGGCAGCAGCGCGCGGCGGACGAACGCCGAGCGCGCGAGCGAGAGGCGAAGGAAGAAGCCGTCGCGGCGCGTCGCCGCGCCGTCGCCGCGCGGTCGCGACGCCCGGAGAAGTCGCCGCACTTCTGGCAGCCGACCGCGGAGTCGCTCGTCACGGAGACGGTGCGCGTGCGCCGCGCGGGGACGAAGACGGGCGCGGTCGCGATCATCCATCGACGCGCGATGAACGCGTCGAGGGACGTCGCGAAGAAAGAATACGCCGCGCTCTTGCGCGCGGCGCGAGATAAGGCGCGTTCGCGTTCACACTGGTTCCCATACGACCGCGTCGGCGTGATGAACGCCGTTCCTTAAGGACTTTACTTCCCGGCGTCTCTCTCCGCCCATCACCCCTCGCGTTCAATCCCCGCCCGCGTTGCCTCACGACTCCGCTTCTGACGCCTTTCAACTTCACCCCGACGTTCGTCGCTTCGCGCGGACCCTCGACCCTCAGCTCGGGATGGGCGTGAAGATCGCGGCGCTGATCGACCCGTCCACCGGCGACGCGTTCGACTACGTCGCGGCGTCGCTGAGGTGTTCGAGCAAGGTTGACCTGGACATGAGCGCGGATGACATGACGCCGACGCCGACGACGCGCGCGTTTCCCGCGGGCGTCACCTTCGTCGCGTTGACGTCGAACGAAGTCGCGCGGCGGCGGGAGACGCGCGCCGACGCGCTCGCGCTCGCGCTCGCGCCCCCGCCGGGGTACGGCACGCTCGAAGCCGACGAGGCCGCGCTCGTGAACCGTCTCTCGGAGCCGACGCAGAGCGCGGCGTTGATCCACGTGTCCAGAGTCGGACGACGTTGGGGCGCGTCGGACGCGTCCGACGCCGACGCCGGCGCCGGGCCGTCCGACGGGCTGTCCGACACGCGCGCCGAGGACGTCGTCTCCGTCGTCATCCCGCGGTCTGTGGAGCTCTTCGGCGACGTCCTCGCGAGGGTGACGGAGACGTTGAAAGCGCACGAGCTCGCGCAGACGCGATGCGTCGCGTTGTATCGCAGCGAACGCGTGGTTCGCGCGGGCGACGAGGAAGACGAGGAAGACGCGCCGAACGAGATCACGCGCGTGGAGGAGTTGAAGGCGCGTTCTATCTCACACTGGTCCCCATACGACCCCGTTCGCGTGGTGGACGCCGATCCTTAAGGACTTTGCCCGGCGCATCTCTCCGCCCACCCCTCGCTTTCAATCCCGACACACCTCGACGCCTTTCAACTCCATCTGACGCCTTTCAACTCCACCCCGACGTCGCTTTGTATGGAACGACCCTGAAGACGGGCGACTTGGTCTTCGCGCGGTGCGTCGGGGACCTCGCGCCCGGGATGGCGCGCAACATCTCCGCGGCGCGACGCCAGGCGCGCGCGATGCACGCCCTGACCGAACCGATAACGCACAAGACGGATGCGTTGGTAGAAGTGGACGTCGCGCCGTTGGACGACCCGACCGGGGAGTCGTTCGCGATGCGTCTGCCCGAGCTCTCGAAGCTGCGGCACCTCACGTTCGAGGACGTGTGCCGCCGCGTGCGCATCGCGGCGGCGCTCCCGAGCGAGACGCGCGTCCGCGCGCTGTTCAAGTTTAACGGCGAGAAGCTCGCGTCGCCGAGCGATATTCGTCCGGGGATGCGGCTGCTGTACAGCGAGCGGCGAGCGGCGCGGAGTCAAAGCGCGTCGCGGCCGCAGAGCGCGGCGTCGAGCCGGCGGCAATCGCGTTCGCCGTCGCGGTCGCGAGGGGGCGGCGTGAAAGTCGCGCCGCCGATTCGGTTAGCGTTAGCGGAGGCGCTCGCCGCCGCGGAGGCGGTCATGGACGAGCAGAACAACACGGAGGACGGCGCGCCGCCGGCGGCGGCGGCGGAGGAGGAGGAGGAGGCGAACGACGACGACGCGGACGCGGACGGCGTCGTCGTCGAGGACGACGACGACGATTTGGAGGAGATCGAAATCGAGCCGGAGAAGCTGCCCACGCCGGCGAAGCCGCCGTCGGGGCGGCCGCAGACGGCGCCGCGCGGCGGACGGAAGACCGCCGCCGCCGCGACGTCGCCGAAAAAGAACGCGGTCGCGGTCGGGACGCCGCCGCCGCCGGAGGAGGACGTTCCGCTGGACTGGGACCGCGCGCTGCCGCGATTTATGCCGTCGCCGACGCCGTCGTCGCCGACGCCGCCGTCGCCGACGCGGGAGAACGTTCTCGTCAGCCCCGGGCGGCTCCGGCCGCTGCGGACGTCGGCGTCCGCGAAGAAGGCGGCGGCGCCGCCGCCGGAACCGGGGTCGCTGCGGAGGAGCGCGACGTCCCCGGGCGGCGGCGGCGGCGGCAGCGGCGGCGGCGCGAAGCTCGAACCTATTCGCGGCATCATGCCTGGGTTTTCGAGCACGAAATCGCCGAGCCCGTCGCCGGTGCTCTCCCCGGGTAACGCGCGCGGGATCGAACGCGGCGGGTCGATGAAGATTGAGTTCGCGGGCGGTTCGGACGAGGAGATCTCTGAGGAGATCGATTACGACCTCGGCGGGGACTCGAGCATGTCCGGGTCGCTGCCGTTGCCGTGAGCGAGGGCGGACGAGTAGACTTCGTATCGTGCGCTGTATAAACAAAGCTTGCTACTCTTCGCGCGCGCGAGATCGTCGTCGCGTCGTCTCGCATCCCGCGCGCGTCCTATTCTTCATTCTTCTCTTTCGTCGCGAACGCGTTCGAACGCTTCTTCTTCTTCCGTCTCTCCCTCTCGTTCTCGTCGTCGTCGTCGTGATCGCGGTCGCGGTCTACTAAAGTCGAGTCTTCTCCCCGCCTCCTCCTCGCTCCGCTCACTCCTCGGGCTCGCCGTACGGCTCCAAGTCGAACGTCAAAACCCTCGAGCACGCGTCGTGCACGTCCCTCGTCACGCCCACGAGCGAGTCCGCCTTGTCGAAGAAGTAATCCTTCAGGGAGATGACGATGGACTGACACGGCGCGCCGTCGGCGCCTCCGCCGAGCCCGTGCGACCGGTTGCGAATGAACCGCGCCATCTTCTCAACGTTCGTCTTGTCCAGGCTCGCGTCGATCTCGTCCAGGACGAAAAACGGGCTGCTCTTGTACGAGTGGATCGCGAAAAGTAACGCCAGAGCGGCCATCGTTTTCTCGCCGCCGGACAGCGCCTCCATCTCGCGGAACCGTTTCGTCGGCGGCATCGCCGTGAATTTCAACCCTGCGTTGTACGGCTCCTCGAGGCTCTCCAGCGCGAGGTACGCGGTCCCACCCAACGGATGCGACGGCGACATCGTGAGCTCCTTGTACACCTTATCGATCGCGTCCGAGATGTGTTTGTACGCCGCCATGAACGTGGACGCGCGCTCGGATTTGACGCGCTCGAAAGCGTCGTGCGCGGCTTTCGTCTTTTTCCGGCACTCCTCGAGCTCCTCAGTCTGCGCGCGCTCCTTCTCTTTGATGCCCTCGTACTGATCGATCGCCTTCATGTTCGGCTCTAAACGCTCGAGCTGCGTCAGTTTCTTCTCCACGTTCGCCCTGAGCTCATCGTCGATGCGCTCGCGGTCAGACGGCCGCGGCGCTTGCTTCAGACGCGGCGCGAGACCGTCGTAATCCAGCTTGGTCTTAAACGCGGCTTCGCGGAACCCCGCGGCGCTTTTCCTTCGCTCCTCCTCGTCCGCCTCCATCGCGTCCGCGTCGACTTCTCCGTCGTCGTCGTCGTCGTCGTCGTCCATCCCGCTCGTGAGCTTCTTCACCGGCGCGGGAAGCGCGAGAACGTCGTCGTCGTCGTCTCCGCCCTCGTCGTCCTCCGCGCGCGGGAGCTTGATCCGCTCCATCCGCGCGGCGGCGATGATGTCCGCCCTCGACTCTCTCAACGCGTCGACGACGCTCCTCTTGTTCCCGACGAGCCGCTGCAACTTCGCGCCCTCCTGCGACAACACCCCGAGCCTCTGGCGGACGTCCTTCACCTCCTGCTCGACCGCCTCCGCGTCAGCCTTCGCCTCCGCGGCCTCTCGCTCCCACGCCTCGAGCGTCTCGCGGCGCTCCTCCGCCTCCGCCTTGGCCTTCTCCGCCTCGGCGAGTAAACGTTCGAGATCTTTTTCAAACCGCTCGATGTCCGCCGCGGCTCTCGCCCTCGGCCCCTCCGTGTCCCTCGACCGCTCGTAGTTGAGCTGCTCCGTGAGCTTCGCGCGCTGAGTCGTGAACCTCGCGCGCTCCTCCGCGCCGAGCTGCAGCATCGCGAGGTTGTTCTCCTCGTACTCGCGGATGTTCGCGACGCCGACGGAGGCGCTGAACTCGGCGTAGACGGCGTCCTCAGCCGCGTGAATCTTCGCCTCCACCGCCTCGACCGCCGCCGCCGCCTTCTCGCACGCCTTCTCCGCGGCTTTAAGCTCCGGGGACGTCGCGTCGAGCTCGCGCTTGATGTTCGCGGCGTCCTTGGTGAGTTTCTCGATCTTCTCCGCGCACATCTTGCGGTCCACCGCGGCGTATTGAAGGTCCTTCTCGAGCCTCGCCAATCGCGCCGCCGACTCTTGCTCCTCCGCGATGAGCGCGGCGACGGGCTTGATCTTCGCGAGCGACTCCTCCGCAGCCTGGCGATCCGCGCGCAGCTGCTCGATCTCCTCCGCGTCGAACCTCGACGCTTTCGCCTCCAGCGACCCGGAGTTCCCGCCCGTCATCTCGCCGCTCTTCTTGATCATCGTGCCGTCGAGCGAAACGACTTTCAGGCGCCGGTCGCCCGCGCCGAACGAGTGCCTCTTCGCCTCCTCGTGCGTGTCGCACACGAGCGTGTCGCCGCCCATGGCGTAGATCATCGCGCGCTTCACGCTCTCGTCGAACGACACGACGTCGACGCACAGCTTCGAGGTGCCGCCGAGGTGACGCAGGCGCTCGTCGGGTTCGAACACCTTGAGCTGGTTGACGGGTAAAAACGTCATCGGCGCGATGCGTTGCTCTTTGAGATACCGCACGCACTCCTTCGCGGTCGCCGCGTCGTCGACGACGACCGCGTCCGCGTCTTTCCCGAGCACCGTGATCACCGCGAGGTTAAACTTCTTCTGCGACACCTTGATCAGGTCCGTGACGCGCCCGTGCACGCCCGGGAGCATCCGACGCAAGGACGTCACCGCCTCCGCCGCGCGCGTCTCGCGTTCCGACTCCTTCCGGTCCGCCTTCGCCTCGCGCAACTTCCCGCTGAGCTCCTCCACCTTCCCGGCGAGGTTCTCCTGCTTCGCGCGCGACTTGCGCTTCTCGTCCGTGATCGCCTTCTCGCGCTCGCGCCCGTCCTCGAGCTCCGCCGTCGTGCTCGCCTCGCCGTCTCGGAGCGCGGCGTCGCGCGCCCGTTCGCTCTCGAGCTGTTCGTCGAGCACCGCGAGCCGCGCGGCGAGCTCGTCAACCTTGCTCGCGTGCCGCGCGCGCGTCAGCTCCTCCGCGGCCGCTGCCGCCGCGAGACCGTCGCGCTCTTGCCGCAGCTTGAACGTCTTCGCGCCAGCCTCTTCCTTGCGTCGGTTGTACTCGTCCATCTGCTTCGCGCCGAGCTCGAGGTCGCCGCCGTCCTTGTTCTTCTTCTTTTGTCTCTCCGCGAAGTCCTTCTCGAACGCCTTCTCCGCGGCGTTGACGTTCTCGAGGTCGCGCGTGAGGCGCTCCACGTCCGCCTTGCTCTCCGCCGCGTCCTGCGCGTGCCGCTGCAGCTGCTTCGTCGCGAGCTCGAGCCTCTTCTTCGTCCGCGACGTCTCCTCTTTGACGCGCACCGCGTGCGGATTTTTCTTGTCGCCGTCGGCTTTGTGCTTGGCGATCTTATTAGGGTCGAGGGTCCACGCGAAGCGACGTCGGGGTGGAGTTAAAGGCGTCAGAAGCGGAGTTGAAAGGCGTCGAGGGCGGGGATTGAAACCGAGGGACCCTGGGCGGAGAGAAACGCCGGGAGATAAAGTCCTTAAGGATCGGCGTTCACCGCGCCGACGCGGTCGTACGGGGACCAGTGCGAGGAGAACGCGCCTTACGCTCCAGCATCAGCTGCTTCTTCGCGTGCGTCGCCTTGAGCGACCGCTTCTCCTCCACGTCCTTCGCGCACGCCTCGACCCTCGCCTCGTGCTCTTTCAGCGCGCCGGACGCCTCCGCGATGTCGTCCTCGTGCCGCTTCGCGTCGAAGTCGATGTGGAACAGCTTGAACAGCGCGCGCTCAGCCTTGGCGTCTTCGAGCTCCTTGGTCATCCGCAGATGCTTCTCCGCCTCCTCCTTTTGCTCCTTCATCTGCCGGCGCTGCGTCTGCAAACCCTTGCGCTTCGTGAACGCCACCTGCTGCGCGTCCTCCGCGTCCTTCTTCGCGACGCGCGCGAGCTCGTACTCCTTCTTGAGCTCCTCGCTGCCGCTCACCGTCTCCACGAGAGACGTGAGATCCTTCGGCGACTTTGACGCGACGCTCTCGATGTCGCCCTGGAACACGAGAAAGTTCCTCGCCTTGACGAGAATGCCAAAGTCTTTCAGTCGGTCGTTGTACGCCTCCGCGGTGACCACCTTGTTCGCGATGCGGTACTCGCCCGTTCCCGCGGGGGTGATGTGCCGCGAGAAGACAATCTCTTCGCCCTCCTCGGTCTCGTACACCAGACGCACGTACGCCGCGCGTTTCTTCTCTCTGTCGGCGACGTCGAACGCGTAGACGAGGTCTTTCAGCTGCGTCCCTCGCAGCTGCGCGGACTGCACGCCGAGGACGAACGAGATGGCGTCCATGAGGTTCGACTTGCCGCTTCCTGTGGACGCGCCGGCGGAGGAGGGAGGGAGGGAGGGTCAGAAAGAGGAGAAAGAGGCGGCGGGTCTTTAATCGAATCGAAATCGAAATCGAACGAACGACGGAGGATGAGATCTGGGCGGGCGGTCTTTTGAACGACGCCCGGCGTCGCGCGGCGCGGGTCGACGCGCGCGCGCGCGGACGCGCGGGGGGTCGGTCGGGTCGATCGACGCGCACCGTTGGGCCCGATGATGGACGTGAACTGCTTGAACGGGCCGATGACCTGATGGCCTTTGTACGACCTGCGAGCGAGCGAGGGAGGGACGCGCGCGCGCGGGGGGGAGATCTCGTCAGCGTCCGAAGCGGAGACGCGCGCGGAGGAGGAAAGCGGAGATGCGCGGCGGAGGACGGAGGACGCACTTGAAGTTGTCGCACTCGATGCGCTGGATCATGCCTCTCTTGACGACGATCGCGTTCTCCTTCCCGTCCGGCTCCGACCGCGGGTTGGACCCGCGGGTGGACCCGCGCGCCATCGCTTCGGAGCGCCGCGGCGAACTCTGGGCACCCGCGCGCGAGTCGAGACGACGCGACGCGCTCGCGCGTCCTCGTTCTCCTCTCCTCGCTCTCCTTCGCGAGCCGACCGCGCGGCCGCCCGTGCGCGCGCGCGACGTCTGTGCGTGCGCGTGCGATGCGTCCCCGGTGCGCGCGCGTTCCTCGCGCGGCGGGCTCGCGCGTCGCCGAGTGACGCGCGAATCTCGCGCTCGCGAACTTTCAAAATGACGGCCCGAAAATAGCGCGTGGCGCGTGTCTGTCCAGTCCTGAGTTTGAAACCACTCCCAGATCAATCCCGCCGGTCAAACTGACCCGTACTTCTCCCAACTGACCGACTACCGAAGCGCCAGATTCTTCGCTCGCGTGATCCACTCCGGCTGCGCGCTGCTGTGTGTGGCCCACGAGACGCCGACCGAGCGCGCCATTCCTATCGCCGCGGCGCCGAACGTTCGAGCCGCGCGTTCGCGATGGCGTCCAACAAGAGCGGCATGAACATTCGGCACATGGCCGGCAACCTCGACTCCAAGTGCGTCGCCGCGCGTCCTCGCCCGTCGTTCCCGCGTCGCGCGATCCTCGCGTCGCGCGCGCCGCGCCGATCGCTCGACCGATCGCTCGATCGATCGCGGCCGCACCGCGCGTCGTCGTTTTTCGATCCTGCGACCCTCCGAACGTCTTCCGCGCGCTGACCTGACCGTCTTCCGCGTCGTCCTCCGCCCATCCATCGCCGCAGGGAGACCGGCAAGGCGACGAAGGACTACGAGGACTACTTCGCGGAGGAGGACGACAGCAAGCGCACGGGGAACTACACCGACGTCGTGAACAAGTACTACGACCTCGCGACGTCCTTCTACGAGTACGGCTGGGGCGAGTCGTTCCACTTCGCGCATCGGTACAAGTGGGAGACGCTGCGAGAGTCGATCGTTCGCCACGAGCACTTCCTCGCGTCGAAGCTCAACGTCGGTCCCGGGAGCAAAGTCCTCGACGTCGGCTGCGGCGTCGGCGGCCCGCTCAGAGAGATCGCGGCGTTCACCGGCGCCGACGTCACCGGGCTCAACAACAACGCGTTTCAGATCAAACGCGGGACGGAGCTCAACGCGGCGACCGGACGCCACGATAACTGCGACTTCGTCAAGGCGGACTTCATGAACATCCCGAAGAAGGACGCGACGTACGACGCGGTGTACCAGATCGAGGCGACGTGCCACGCCCCGGACGCGGTCGGATGCTACTCGGAGATTTTCCGCGTGCTCAAGCCCGGCGGCGTCTTCGCGTCGTACGAGTGGTGCCTCACGGACGAGTACGACGAGAAGAACGAGGAGCACAGGAAGATCCGTCAGGAGATTCTCATCGGGAACGGCCTCCCCACGGCCAGGCACACGAGCGAGGTGTTGGACGCGCTTAAAAAGTCCGGGTTCGAGATCATCGAGGAGATCGACCTCGTGAAAACCGCCGACGTGTCGTGGTACGAGCCCATCGATCCGGATCGCTCTTGGAGGCCGTGGCGGGACTTCTGGAGCTTCAAGACGACGAGGTGGGGGCGCGGGATCACGCACTACCTCGTGTGGGCGCTCGAGACGCTGCGCATCGCGCCGAAGGGGACGATGAGCGTGTCGTCGTTTTTGAAGAAGGGCGCGGATGGGCTCGTCGCGGGCGGCAAAAAAGGCATCTACACCGTGATGTACTTCACCGTCGCGAGGAAGCCGCCGACGAAATCGGCCAAGCCGCTGCCGTCGCCGAAGAAGGCGCCCGCGGCGGCGGCCGCGCAGTGAGAGGAGGAGGAGGAGGATGCGGAGGAGGAGGGGGCGTTTGGTGACTCGTGTTGTGTTGACTGGCCTGCTTCCGTGCCTTGAATATAAGATGGTCGTCGCGCGCGCTCATCATTCTGTTCATCTATCTGCGTCTGCGTCTTCGCTTCTGTTCGTCTCGCGTTCCCGTCGATCTCAACATCGCCCCGACGCGTCCTCCTCGTCAGTGTCTCGCCGCGCCGCCGCGGCGGGCATGGCGGACGTCGCGCTCGGGGAACCGACGCACGTCCCCGCGACGCCGCCGCCGGTGTTCGAGCTCGCGGACGTGTGGACGACGCGGGTGGACAAGCGCGCGTGCTCGCTCTTGGTGCGCGCGCGCCGTCCGTCCGTCCGTCCATCCGTTCGTTCGCGCACCGCCGTCGTCTTCTTCCTCGCGCTCGACGCCGTCCGTCGTCCCTCCCGCGCGCTCTCTCCGACCCGACGACGCCCTCTCCTCCGCCATCTCTCCCTCGTCGCGTCCGTCGCAGCTCAAGGAGGCGTGCGCGGAGATCCCTCTCCCCGACGCCCTCGCGCACGTCAAGCGCGTGCGCAAGGCGGACGACGGCGACGACCGCCTCCGCCTCGTCGTGTGCATCGCGTCCTCCTCCTCCTCCTCCTCCTCCTTCGACGACGACCGAGACGTCCCGGACGCGGCGCGCGCGCTCGTGACGCGCCACGCGCTGCCCCCGCTCGAGCGCGATACCGTCCCCGCGCACGCCCCGCGCACGAGAGAGCAGTGGGAGGCGTGGAACGCGCGCTGGCCCATCTCGTGGAAGAAGCCGATGTCGCATCTCGCGGAGCCCGCGGAGTCGCCGTCCGCCGCCGACGCGGAGACCATGCGTCGGTGGACGCGCGAGGCGATCGACGACGCGCGCCGCGGGGGAGGCGGCGGGTGTGTCATCGCGAACGCGGTGGTGATCGTGGATCCGGCGAGCGGCCGCGTCGTCGCGCGGGGGCGCGACGCGACCGGGGGGTGGCGTATACGGCGGCGGGACGGCGAAGACGAAGACGAAGAAGACGCGCGACGGCATCCGCTTCGACACGCCGTTCTCGACGCGATCGACGCCGCGGCCAGCGCCGACCTCGCGCGCGACCCGCCCTCGTCCTCGCCTCTCCCGCCGCCGCCGCCGCCGCCGCCGGGCGACGACGACGATTTCGGCGGCGTCGGAGAGAAGCGGCGGAGGGCGCCGACGGCGTCGCTCGCGGAGATGACCGCCGAAATCGGTCGGGGGTATTTATGCACCGGATACGACGTCTACTGCGCGCGAGAGCCGTGCGTGATGTGCGCGATGGCGCTGACGCACTCGCGCGTTCGGAGGGTGATATACGCGATCCCGAGCGCGAGGCACGGCGCGCTCGGCGGCGGCGCGTACTCGTTGCAAAAGGAGCGGACGTTGAATCATCACTACGACGTGTACACCTTCGGCGTCGACGCGTGAAGGCGTCGCGAGACGCCTCACGATGCGTAGGATACAGTAAGCTTATTTAGATAGCAGGTCGTCGTGAACGTGATGGTGCGTAATATTAGAAGAAACGGCTATGATGATACGTTTAGTATGTACATCCCAACGCCACCGCGGCGAGGTCTCATCACAGATCCGTGATGCACCCCTGCGACGCGGTGCCGACGCACTTGATGTACTTGTACAGCGTCCCTCTCGTCGCCTCGAGCGGCTTTCCCGTCCACTTCTTCTTCCGCGCCTCCCACTCCGCGTCGTCGATGTCGAGCGCGTTCATCGTCCGCTTCTCCGCGTCGATCTCGATGATGTCGCCGTCCTCGATCAAGCCGATCGGGCCGCCGGTTTGCGCCTCCGGGCAGACGTGGCCGATGACGAACCCGTGAGAGCCGCCGCTGAAGCGGCCGTCGGTGATGAGCGCGCAGTCTTGCCCGAGGCCGGCGCCCATGATCGCGGACGTCGGGGTCAACATCTCGGGCATCCCGGGTCCGCCTTTCGGGCCTTCGTATCGAATCACGATCACGGAGCCTTTGAACGAGTCCGCGTCCTCGGCGAGCGCGTCGAGCATCTCTTCTTCGGAGTCGTACACCTTCGCGAAGCCTTTGAAGTAGAGGCCTTCTTTGCCGGTGATCTTCGCCACGGAGCCGTCGGGGGCGATGTTACCGTATAACGTCTGGAGGTGGCCCGTTTCTTTGATCGGTTTATCGATCGGCATGATGACTTGCTGGCCTTCGCTGAGGTCCGGGCACGATTCGAGATTCTCCGCGAGCGTCTTCCCCGTGCACGTCATGCAGCTGCCGTCGATGAAGCCTTCTTTCATGAGGTACTGCGATTCGAGGCGCGCGAGAGAGCGGGGAGGAGAGGTCAGCGGGCGATCGATCGATCGATCGGCTCGATTCGGCGTCCGCGAAACCGAAACGACGAGAGCGCGGCGCGAGCGTCAGGACTGTTAATCGGATTTATCGTCACCGCCCGAGGGCTAATGAAGGGGAATCCATAAGTTTCATCACGCGCTCGACGAACCGGGGACGCGTCGAGAAACTGAAAGAAGAGACGGAAAACGAATCGAGGGCGCGCGCCGCACCTTGAGCACGCCGGGGGTGCCGCCGATCTTGTGCACGTCCTCCATGACGTACTTCCCCGACGGTTTCAAATCCGCGATGAACGGCGTCTTATCCGACACCGCCTGGAAATCGTCCAGCGTGAGCTCGATCCCGACCGAGTGCGCCATCGCGATGAGGTGCAACACCGCGTTGGTGGACCCGCCGAGCGCGATGACGACCGTCATGGCATTCTCAAACGCCGCCCTGGTCATGATATCCCGCGGTTTCAGATCGATCTCGAGCATGTGCTTGATCGCCTTGCCCGCCATGAAGCACTCGTCCATCTTCAGCGGATCCTCCGCGGGGATGGACGACGAGTACGGAAGCGACATGCCCAGCGCCTCGATCGCGGACGCCATCGTGTTGGCGGTGTACCTGAGAGGTTTATAGGTATGATAGTCGGGGTCGAACAGGGTCGACGTTCGTTTCGTTTTCTATCGGTCAGTCGCGCGTCTCGCCGGTGAAACACACAGTGCGTCGAAAGGAAAGGAAAGGAAAGGAAAGGAAGTCGTCGCGAAGAGTGGCGAAAGGTCGTGTGTACGCGCGGGAAGCCAGCCGTCGGGGGAGAAGAGAAAAAAGGGGAAAAAAAAACGAGACGCACATGCCGCCGCACGCGCCCGCGCCCGGGCACGAGTTCCGCACGATGTCCGCGCGCTCCTCCTCTTCGATCGCGCCGGTGACGAACTGCCCGTATGATTGGAACGCGGAGACGATGTCCAGCGGCTCGCCGCTCGAGGAGTACCCGGGCTTGATCGTTCCGCCGTAGACCATGAGACCCGGGCGATTGAGACGCCCCATCGCGATGATGCACCCGGGCATGTTCTTGTCGCAGCCCGGGAGGGAGACGTTCGCGTCGTACCACTGCCCGCCCATGACGGTCTCGATGCTGTCCGCGATGATGTCGCGGGATTGCAGAGAGAAGCTCATGCCGGGCGTGCCCATGGAGATGCCGTCTGAGGGTCGTTCCGTACAAAAAAAGGTTCACCGGTCAGTTGAAAGGGGACGCGATCAAGTGTTGAAACCGGGCGATGGGTGAAAAACTTTTGTATAGAACGCACCTGAGACGCCGATGGTGTTGAATCTGAATCCGACCATGTCCTCCGCGGCGACGCCCTCTTTGACGCGCGCCGCGAGGTCCATGAGGTGCTTGTTGCACGGGTTCCCCTCCCACCACACGGACGAGATCCCAACCTGGGGTTTGTTCATGTCCTCGGGTTCCATCCCGGTCGCGTAGAGCATCGCCTGAAGGAGAGCGAGAGAGAGAGAGAGACGGAGCGATCAGTCGGGGGCGGGTGAGGTCGGCTCGGGATCGATCGCGGCGCGAGTTGAAAGGCGTCGAGGGCGGGTATTGAAAGCGAGAGCCGGGCGGAGAGAGACGACGGCAAAAGTCCTTAAGAAACGGCGTTCACCACGCGAACGCGGTCGTATGGGGACCAGTGTATAGAAGTTCGAGGTTTTCGCCGGCGAGGGTTTCGGCGCCATCGACGCGAGCGACGACGACGGCGGCGGCGGCGGCGCGGGACGACCGCGACGCCAGGAACGGGAGGGCGCGCTAACTGTCGACGCGCCTGCGACGCGCCCTGCGACTTCGGCTGCGTGATCTTGCGCGACCACTTGTTCAGGTCGTCCGCGGGACCCTCGGGCATGTTCACCCCGGGCTGATGCGCCGCTCTCGCCGGCATCAGGCGCGCGGCATTTCGCGACGCGATCGCGCGATGGGCGCGGCGCGCGTCGGCGCGCAGCGCGCGGCCGGCGAGGCGCGGCCGAGAGGAGAGCGCGCCAGCGGAAGCCATATTCGGTCGCCGGCGACGAGTGTCGGGTCGGGTGGTTCGCGCGGAGCGTGCGCGCGCGACGTGCGGTGTCAGGCCCCGCCGCATTTCGATCGACGCGTGGTGCGCTTTTTCGAGACGCGAAAAGCTGCGATATTTCATGTCTCAACTCAAGTCACTCGAACGTCTCTACGCGACCGCCGCCGCCGGCCGCTGTCCATCACAAACTCGCGCGCCGCCCGCCTCGCGCGAGCAACGCCTCGGACACCGCCTCCCCGGCCCGCGTCCCGCTCAGCCACGCGCGCTCGACCCCCGCGCCGCCGACGAAGTCACCGCACGCGGCGAACGCTCGCGTCGCGTCGTGCGCGAACCCGGGGCCGCTTCCTCCGCCGCCGCTCGCGATGGGCGTCGAGGGAAACGCGTTCCCCCACCGCTGACTCGCGACGTGAACCGGCGCGGGAACCGAACCGGCACCAATCCCATGGGTCCCGCCCCCGCAGCTTCCACGCAACAGCCGCAAGACCTCGTCCCGCATCGTCGGCGTGATCTGCGCGAGGTACTCCGCGGTCTGAGGGTTATACTTCCCGTCGACGCTCAGCGGCGCTCGCGCCACCATCTCTCTCGCGAACGCCTCGGTGCTCACCGCGGTCCAGCACTCGACGCCGTCGTCCCGGCCGCGCCCCGGCTTGCTCGAGTCCCGCGACAGGAACTGCACGACGTCCGAGTCCTCGACGACGGCGGCGTCGAACGGCGGGCCCGTCAGCGGCGTCGGGAACGCGATCATCAGCGAGAAGAGCGACTGGGGCGGAAGCGCCGACATCTCTCGCCAACACGCCGCCGCGACGGAATCCGAACCGTCGGAATCCGAACCGTCGCCATCGCCATCCTCGCCTTCGAACGTCAGCGCGCACGAGCCCGGGGTGCCGCTCGTCGCGCACATTACGTCCGTGACGACGACCGCGTCGAAGCTCCCGAGGTCGCGCTCGCCCATCTTCGCCGCGGCTTCCTTAGCGTCGACGCGCTTTCGTCCCACGTCCACGCCCATGACGCGCCAGGATCGCGTCTTCGCAGACCGCGTCAGCGACGTGACGCACACGCGCTGCCGCTGCGTCGTCCGCGCGATCGAGCACGCGCTCAGGAGGCCGTCGCTCGCGCCGACCATCGTGGGCGTTCCGACGAAGACGTCCTCCGAGGAGAGCACTCCGAAAAAGTCCGGGGGGCGATCATCGGACGACGTCTTCGTCGGGAGGTCAGCCTTGGCGATGAACGCGCCGTCGCGCGCGCGCAAGACGCCGAACCGCGCGTCCCATCGCGCGATCGCGCCCGCGCGCTCGAGCGTCGCGCATCGCGCGCGGAAGCTCGCGTCCGTCGCCGTCAGAAGCTGGCAGCCGTGGTCGAACGTCAGCGGAGGCGTCGTCTCGCCGGCCGGGCGGCTGCTCGACGCGCGACCGCCGACGCCGCGGCCGCCCATGTCGAAGAGCTCGACGACGCATCGCTCGCTGAGCTTGGCGGCCGCGCTGAGACCGGCGATCCCGGCGCCGATGACCGCGACTCGAGGCGTCACTTGCGCCATGACGTGTGGCGCGCCGACGACGTCGCGTCTCTCGGACGACGTGATGACGCCTGGAATCTATTGACGACACAGCTGGCTGAAAGTCAACGAAAAATGGTCACGTTTAACTTCATTCCGCGCGCGCGCGCGGCGCTCGAGCGCTGGGCCGAAGAGCCAGCTGCATCTTATCATCGATGAGATGCAACTTCTACAACTTGATAAAAAAAGCAAAGCGTTCGCGTCGTCGTCGCGGCTACGGCTCCGTGCTCAGATGATCCGGATCCGTCCACGGAAACACCCGCGGACTCTTCTCGTTCCTCGCCGTCAGCACGTCCACGCCGTCGTCCGTCACGACCATCGTGTGCTCGTACTGCGCGCTCCTGCTCCCGTCCTTCGTCACCGCCGTCCACCCGTCCGGCCACGTCGCATCCTTCCAATCGCCCGCGTTTATCATCGGCTCGATCGTAAACACGTGGCCGGTTTTCATCGCGCCGACGGCTTTGTTCTTCGCGTAGTGCGGCACGTTCGGCGCGCAGTGAAACAACGTCCCGATCCCGTGCCCGCAGTAGCTCTTCACGACGCTCGCGTCCCTCCTGTGCGCGACTCGAGTGACCTCCTCGCCGATGTCGCGATACCGCGCCCCGGGCTTCACGCCCTCGATCGCCCTGAAGAGGCACTTGTACGCCGTCATCAGGAGCTTCTTCGACTTTTCGTCGCAGTTCCCTACGCACACCGTCTCGTTCAAGTCGCCGTGGTAGCCGCGAAGGTACGCCGTGACGTCGACGTTCAACACGTCGCCGTCCTGCAGCGGCCGCGCGTCCGGTATCCCGTGGCAGATGACCTCGTTCACGCTCGTGCAGCACGACTTGGGGAAGTTGTAGTAGTTCAACGGCGACGGGTAGCCTCCGTGCGCGGTGATGTACGCGTGACAAATCTTATCGAGCTCCTCCGTCGTCACGCCGACGCGCGCCGCGCGCACGACCGCGTCCAACGCCCCGCGCGCGACGACGCACGTCTCGCGCAGGACGTTGATCTGCTCCGGGGAGTACTGCACGCAAATCTGCTGGAGCTTTGACTCTTGCTCGGAGATGGGCTCCGCGGTCTCGGCGTAGTCGGGCTGCGGGTCATTCCGCGCGAGGCGACGTCGGGGCGGAGTCGAAAGGCGTCAGAAGCGGAGTCGAAAGGCGTCGAGGGCGGGGATTGTGAGCGAGGGGTGGGCGGAGATAGACGACGGCGAAATTCCTTAAGGAACGGCGTTCACCACGCCAACGGGGTCGTACGGGGACCAGTGTGAACGCGAACGCGCCTTCTTCACCCCCGCGGGGACGTCTCGGAGATGCAACGCGTTTCTCGGCGTCATGATCGGGTGCGGCTTGAGCTCTTTATACGCGAACGGCGGGAGCGCGTCCGCGCGCTTTTGCCCTCGCGCGAGGCACCACATCCACGGCTCGTCCTTCGTGGGGCTCTCCGGCGTGGACTTGGGCGTCATCGCCCACGTGGACGGCGCCGCGGGGTCGATTACGATCGGATCGACGGTTGCGACGACGGATGCGAAGCCGGCGGCGGCGTCCTCGTCGCGCGTCGCGGCGTACGACGCGCCGCGGACGACGTTCGTGCCGCACGACAGCGCGACGGATACGATCACCGCGTACGTCGCGTCCGCGTCGTCCGCGCCGTCCGCGCCGTCGTCGTCGCCGCCGCCGCCGCCGCCGTTCGCGCCGTCGCACAAGCGATGGACGACGCCGTAGTGCTCGTCCGGGAGCCCCACGCCGACCGCGTTCACGACGTCCGCGCGCGTCAGCAGGCGCGACTTGGCGACGAACGGCCTGTACCTCTGCTCCGCGGGGCGCTCTCCGCTCATCCCCAAGACGTTCACGAGTGACTTGACCGCCGCGAGCGGGGCCTCGAAGAAGACCGCGCCGCGGGCGCCGTCGGCGGCGGCGCGGACTTTGGCGACGAGGTGCGTCGGGACGCCGACGTCGGCGAGCGCGGCGAGGAACGCCGCGGCGGCGGACGCGGCGTCGGCGGCTTCTTCCGCCGGGGTCGGCATCTGGGGGAAGCCGGCGGGGGGCGCGATGCGCGACGGCGGCGTGCGCGTCGGCGTGTGCGCGAGCGGCCGCGAACGATCGCGTCTCGAAACTCGACGCGATCGGAGCATCAGTAGGAGTGCTCTCGGCGCCGACGAAAACAAACACCCGGTCGCTCGCACTGTTTCGCGCGCGCGCCCGCGGACGCCGCGACGCCGCCGAGCGCGCGCGCGCTCGCGCGACGATGCTCGCCACGGCCGCGGCCGCGCCGGCGGCGGCGCCGTCGTCACCGCGGGGGGCGCGACGCTCGCGGAGAAGCGCGAGCGCATCATCGCGATGTACCATTAGGGTGCCCACGGCGACGAGCGGCGGAGAACGCGTCGCCGAGTCCCCCTCCTCCTCCTCCTCCTCCTCCTCCTCCTCGTCGGAGGTCTTCGTGTGCGCGATCCCCCTCGTCGGCATGGAGCCCCTCGCGGACGCGCTCGAGGACGCGTACCCGGCGCGCCTCGAGCACACGATGCTCCTCGTGCGCCATCGCGGCGAGACGGCGTGCGTCGCGTACGACTTTCTCCCGATCGAACCGACCAGCCCGGCGACCGCGGCGACCTTGCTGTCCGGCGGCGCCGTCAGAGGCGACCGGCGCGTTCGCGCGCTCTCGCGCGTGCCGTCGCGGAGGTGCTGGCGCGTGGGCGACACGACTCCGGGGCTCGGCGGCGGCGGCGCGGCGGGCGTGGACGCGGTCGCGAGGGCGTTTCAGTCGACGTACGACGCGTCGTTGCGGCTGCGCGAGAACGGCTGCCGCGAGCACACCGCCGCGATGGCGCTCGCGATGACGGGGATAACGCTCGATTTAGACGCGTTACTCATAGAAGGGGATGCGAATAGGTCCGACGACGACGCGTAGCGAGGTACTATTAGTTAGACTACGGTAGACTATAGGCAGCATGCGAAGGCGCAGGGAACGGACTCTGCCTCGCGTCGTCTTCACGCCGGTTGCGGCGCTTTCCCGACGGCGGTCAACGCGACGCCGAAACATCTCACGGAGGGCGCGTCGCCGACGCCGTCGCCGCTGCCCACTTTCGTGAGCCCCCCCCTGAACGCGTCCCACCCCTTCGGCGCCGTCGTCGCGCCACCCGCGTCGCCCGGAAGCGCCCTGGTCGCGTGCGAGTCCGCGAGCATCAGCGTGCAGCGCTCGGAGACCATCGCCGCCGAAATCGCGTCGCCGCCGCCAGCCGGCGACGGCAACACCACCGCCGCGCCGACGCGCATCGCGGCGAGGACGCCGAACCCGAACCCCATCGCGTGCGACAGCGGCACGGCGACGCACACGCGGTCGTCGCGCGTCATGGAGAGCGCGTCGGCGGCGGCGACGCCGTGCGCGAGAAGCGCCGCCTCGCGCGTCGGCTTCCCCGGCGCGTTGAAGAAAAAAGATGAGCTCGTCGTCCGCCCATCGTCGCCGTCGCCTCCGGATCCTCCTCCTCCTCCTCCTCCTCCCTCGCGCTCGCGCACCGGAGGCATCGGCGCGTCCCATCCCCTGAACGCGTCGATCATGATGTCCCAGTGCACGATCGGGTCCGACACCGCGCCGCCGCGGATCGCGATCGGCTCGTGCGCGCCCGGCATCGCCCCCGCGGCGGCCGCGTCGAGATGATGAACCAGCGTGCCGCGGCATCGGACGTCGCGCGCCAGCGCGTCCATCGTCTTCGCCGTCTCCACGTCGATCCCGCGCGCGCTCGCGCCGAGCATCGCGACGAGGAGCTCGTTGCAGTTGTCGAGCCTGACCCCAAGCTTCGCGCCGGGGACGTACCCCATCTCGTCCAGCCCGCGCGCGAAGGCGAGCGCGCGATCGTTGAGCTCGCCGTAGCTCCACCGCGTCGACGTCGAGGGCTCGATCAGCGCGATCGCGTCCGTCGCGTCCGCGGCGCGCGAGGCGAGGAGGTCCGCGGCGCGCGCGGGGGCGGCGGCGGCGGCCGCGGAGGAGGAGGAGGAGGAGGAGGACAGGCCCCGGCGCGCGAGCGCGAGCGCGGCGGCGCGGAGGAGCGTCATGGGAGAGTGACGAGTGACGAGCTGATGGCTGAAGCGCTTCGACTCGTGATGAAGATGGTAGTCAGGTAGACGCACGGGTGGATGGCGAGGACGCGGACGCCGCTCCGTCGGTCTTCTCCCGTTCAAGCGCCCGTCACCGCAACGCGTCGATCGCCACCTCCTTCGCCCTGCGCGCCACCTCGTCCGCGTCCATCAGCTTCACGTCCGGAAGCGGTATCACCGGCGCGATATCGTCGTCCATCGCGCGATACTCCCCGCACCTCGGCGTGTCCCTCTCCCACACCCCGTCGTACCTGGCGCGCTTCTCTTCGTAATAATGCGTCCCCGGACCGTGCTTCTGGTCGTCCTCCCACTGCCCCTCGTACGCGTCGCCGTTCGCCCACGACATCACGCCGCGCCCCGTGCGCTTCCCGTGGACCCACTCGCCGTCGTAGACGTCCGCGCCGAGGCCGTCGAAACGCCCCCCGTACGTCTGTTTCCCCTTCCCGTGTCGCTTCCCCTCGAACCACTCGCCCTCGTATCGCTCGCCCTTCGCGTTGAAAAAGACTCCGAATCCGTGCTTCTTGTTCTCCACCCACGTGCCGTTGTACTCGACGCGGTAGCGGCCCTCGTCGAGCCGCCAGTACGTCCCGAACCCGGTCCGTCGGTCGTCCGCCCACTCGCCCTCGTAGACGTCGCCGTTGGCGAAGGTGTAGGATCCTTTTCCGTGCTTTCGGTTTTTCGCCCACTGCCCTTTGTACTTGGCGCCTCCGGGGAAGAAGACCGTCGCGCGCTCGCCGTGCTTGTCCGCGGGGTCGAGCGTTTCGGGCGCGCCGTAGATGTGGCCGTTCGCGTACGTCACGCCGCCGGACGTCGACGCGTCGTCCTCGACGCCCATCTATCTATCTTCTCCGCGGAAGATTGAACGAACGAACGAATGAATGAATTCCGAGGGGATCGATCGCGGACGCCTCCAAATTCGGCACGACGACAGGACGAACCGCGCGCGGGATCCGACGCGTCGACGACCCGCGGCGAGCGCGCGCCGGGGCTCGCGTCCGCGTCGGGCGAACGACGCGCGGGCGACTCGGTCTCGCCTCGAACCCGGGGTTCGAACGCGTCCGGCGAGCGTGCTAACGCGCGCGACGATGATGTGTGGCGTCGTCGGCCGCTCGCGCGACTCTCACGTTTTCGGCAGTTCACGATGACACACGCAAGCTGTCAGTCGCTCGACGCGCTTTATCCGAGGTTCCGCGCGAGGGCTTCCGCGCCGCGGCTCGTCACTCCGGGACCGCGCGCTCGCGCTTCCTCGCGCGTCCACGCCCGGCATGGCGGCCTCGATCTCGACGGCGTCCTCCGCCGTCGCGGCGGCGCGATGCGCGTCCGGCGCGCGACGTCCGTCGCGCTCGAACCCCGGGCCCGTCGCGAGCACGAGCGCGATCGCGAGGAGGAGGAGAATAATAAAAAGCGAATACCCCGACGCCGACGCCGCCGCCGCCGCGCGCGCCTCGTCTCGTCGCCGCCGCCCGCCTCCGCGCGTCATTCGCGTTCTTCCTCGCGCGACCGTCGGTCCCGCGGTCACGACGCGCGAAGAGAACGGCAGCGTGGACGAGGACGAGGACGAGGACGAGGACACGGCGTGGAACATGGACAACGCCGTGTGCATGGACGCGGAAGACCTCGAGCGGCTCACGCGCGTCTCGTCCGACTCGTTCGCGTACTCCTACGGGCAGAGCGCGCGGAAGCTCCCGAAGCGCATCGTCCTCGTGCGACACGGCGAGAGCTACGGGAACGTGGACGAGAGCGAGTACACGCGAACGCCGGACTCGCAGATTCGGCTGACGACGAACGGGCACGCGCAGGCGACGGAGACGGGGAAGCAGCTTCGGAAGCTCTTCGACGAAGACTTCGTAGTCGACGACGACGACGGAGTCTCCGCCGCCGACTCCGCCAAGAGTCTTCATCCGTACAGAGTGTTCTTCTACATCTCGCCGTACAGGAGGTCGAAGGAGACCGCGCTCGGGATCGCGCGCGCGTTCGACGACGACGCCATCAGCGGCGTCCGCGAGGAGCCGCAGCTCCGCGAGCAAGATTTCGGGAACTTTCAGGACGCGTCGAGGAAGAAGCTCGAGAAGCGCGAACGGCAGTACTTTGGCCGTTTTTTCTACCGGTTCCCCGACGGCGAGAGCGGCGCGGACGTGTTCGATAGGATAACGATATTCGAAGATCACATGGTTCGGGACATCGACGCGGGACGGTTCGACGAGAACACGAACATGGTGCTGTGCACGCACGGGTTGACGTTGCGGCTGTTTCTCATGCGTTGGTTCCACTGGACCGTCGCGGAGTACGAACGCATCGCGAACCCGGCGAACTCGACGCCGATCATCCTCGAGAGGATCGACGACCCGACGGTGAACAAGGGGACGTTTCACACGAAGGAGCTGTACCGACTGTCAGCGGAGAGCATGAAAGGGTTGAGAGGGATCTCCGACGTCATGGCGAGGTGCGTTCTATACACTGGTCCCCATACAACCCCGTTCGCGTGGTGAACGCCGTTCCTTAAGGACTTTGCCCGGCGCGTCTCTCCGCCCACCTCTCGCTTTCGATCCCCGCCCGCGTTGCCTTTCAACTCCAACTGACGCCTTTCAACTCCACCCCGCCATCGCTTTGTATGGAACGACCCTCAGGATGGTGACGCCGGAGAAGAATTGGGAACGCGCGCTGAGTCTGAGCGAGGAGGAGGTGAAGTGGGGCGGCGGCGCGGACGTCGCGCACGACGACGACGGCGTGAACAAGGACGGGTGCGCCGTGAACGCGGTGAATAATTGTTAGGAGAAGGAGAAGAGCGCGCTTATCATAACGTGTCGTCGTTACTCGTATCGCTTCTTCATTAAGGGTAAGGGTACGCGTACGGTATTATTACAGCGGCTGCGGCGAAAACAAAGACAACGAATCACGCGTGCACGACGTCGCTCCAGTACCCGTGCAGCCCGGGGGGTAGATGATCTTCCAGCGTGACCGTCGCGACCGGACCATCTTCTATCTTCTTCGCGTCGAACACGTGCAGATCCGATTTGTCCCTCCCCGCGTCGTTTACGACCACGAGCACGTATCCGTCGTCCTCGTCGACGCCCGTGGGCTTGCGCGCGAAAATCGGCTCTTGCATGAAACACCGCTCGCCGAAGTACCACACGCTCTCTTCCGCTTTGGCGCCCACCTCGGGAGCGGTGTTAAACTTCACGAGGCACTGGTTCGGGCCCCACATGACGTCGTCCTTCACCGCCGCGCCCGCGGCGTAGACGTAGTTGTACTTCTTCCCCGTGTACGCGTGATTCACCTGCGAACGTCGAGGTGGAGTTGAAAGGCGTCGGTTGAAGTTGAAAGGCGTCAAGGTGTGTCGGGATTGAAAGCGAGGCGTGGGCGGAGAGAGACGCCGGCAAAAGTCCTTAAGGATCGGCGTTCACCACGCCGACGCGGTCGTATGGGAACCAGTGTAAGATAGAACGCGCCTGCGGAAACTCCATCACGCGGTTGCTCAGACTCGCCTGCGACGACGTCTCCATCCGGACGTCCACCTCGAAGCGCGTGTACTCGACCCGGGACCCGCCGTTGTAAAACGCCGGCGTGACGGAGTCCAGGTTCATGGAGAAGTCCATGAACGACCACGGCGCGGAGTCGAAGACGACCTTCGAGGCGTCGCCGTCGCTCGGCTCGAACGCGTTGACGTGGTGAAAGAAGAATTGGTTGTCCACCGGGATGGCTTTTTGGCCAATCTTCCGCGCCGCCTCCGTTCTCGGAAGCATGTGAAGCGTCGCGCTCTTCCCGTCCTGGAACGCGATCACCTCCGCGAGCGCGCACTTTGCGAACATGTACTCCGTGAGCAGCTTCTTCGGGTCCAGCGCGGTGGGGTTCTGAAGCAGCATGTACCAGTTTTCGGTCACGAGGCAATCGTGGAACATCCCGAACGTCGCGTCGGGGACCCCAAACGTCTCTCGCTTCGCCTGCTTCCCGCTCGCGTCCCACTCGTAGAACGCGCACTTGTTCGGCTGCATGAACTCAGCCTGCGATTCGATCGAGAACGCGATCAGTCGCTTCTTCGACTCGTCGTCCGCGTCCGTCACGCGGTAGTGCGCCGCCATCTGCGGCACCTCGAGCGCCGCGCCGAGCACGGCGTCCACCTCCGTCGCCGTCGTCCGCAGCGTCGTCGGGTCCATCTTGTGCGGTTTCCCTCCCTCCCACAGCGCGTACAGCTCCCCGGCCCAGTCCACGACGCCGGTGTTCGCGACGTTCTTCACGTCGAAGTCGAACGGGTTGTAGAACGCGTCGCCCTTCGGGTTGCCGATCGCGAACGCGCCCTTGTAGAGCATCTTTCGCGCGGCTTGCTCGTCCACGAAGCCCTTCGTGCCCACGAAGTTGTGCTTGAACGTCAGCGGCTTCCCGTCCTCGAACGCGATGGAATACACCAGCCCGTCGCCGTCGAAGAACTGGTTGAGCTTCTTCCCGAAGATCTCGAGAAGCCCCGGCCCGTTGCGGAAGAGCGTGCCGTTCAGGTCCGTCGGGATCTCGCCGACGACGTTCGCGACGTCGATCGATCGCGGCGCGGAGCCGTCCGTCGTGCTCAGCGACGTGTTGCGGTAGATGGAGCGCCAGTCGTCGATCGTCTGCGCGGACGGCCCCCACGTGCCGGACGGCGGCGGCGATGGCCCCGCCGGGAGCGGGTCGCGCGGGAGCCCCCACTTCGGGACGACGGACGACGCGCGCGACGTCGACGACGCTTTCTCTTCTTTCTTCGCGGCTGGCGGTTCGATGGCCGCGCGCGCGACGCCGCGGGAGGCGGCGGCGGCGGCGGCGCGGCGCGGCGCGCGCGCGCGAAGGCGCGCCGCGCCGGGCGCGGCGAAGCGCGACGGCGGCGACGTGGCGGAAGCTCGCATCGTTCCGGGCGGTGCGCGAGACGGCGCGCGGCGAGGAGTGCCGAGCGGCGTCGACGTCATGAGGCTCGACCGTTCTCGCGAGGACGCACGAGAGCCACGGATTTCGCGCGCCAAGTGGCGTCGTTCGTCTCCGCGCGCGCGCGCCTCCGACGCACTCCCATGCGCGCGGCTCTCTCCGCCGCCGCGTCGTCGTCGTCGTCGACGACGACGACGTCGACGACGCGCGCCGCCTCGCGCGCGCGAGCGATGGCGTCGTCCGCGCCCGCCGCGCCCTCGTCGACCCCCCCCGCGCGTCGCCGCGCCCCCGTCCCGACCGTGACGCTCAACTCGACTCACGAGATGCCGCTGGTCGGCCTCGGGACGTGGCAAGCCCCGGTCGGGGTCGTCGGCGCCGCGGTCGCGGACGCGATATCGCGGCGCGGATACGCGCACGTGGACTGCGCGGCGGCGTACGCGAACGAGGAAGAGGTGGGCGACGCGCTCCGCGACGCGATGGCGTCGGGCGCCATCGCGCGCGAGAGCCTGTTCGTCACGTCGAAGCTGTGGAACGACCGCCGGCGTCCGCGCGACGTCCGCGCGGGGCTGGAGCAGACGCTGCGCGACCTGAAGCTCGACTACCTCGACCTGTACTTGATCCACTGGCCCGTGGTGTGGCGCCGAGGGACGCTGATGCAGCGCGACGGCGACGCGTCGATCGCGGAGTGCTGGCGCGCGCTCGAGGCGCTCGTGGACGAGGGGAAGATTCGCTCAATCGGCGTCTCGAATTTCGACGAGGCGCAGCTCGAGGAGCTGATGCGAACGGCGCGGATCGCGCCCGCGGTGAACCAGATCGAGCGGCACCCAAAACTCCCGCAGGACGCGCTCGTTCGGTATTGCCAAGAGCGCGGGATCGTCGTGACCGCGTACTCGCCGCTCGCGCGCGGCGGCGCGCTGTTCGCGGATCCCGTCGTGTCGGACATCGCGGAAAAACATTCCGTCGCGCCGGCGCAGGTTTTGCTGCGGTGGAGCGTCCAGAGGGGCGTCGTCGTCGTCCCGAAGAGCGTCACGCCGAGCCGGATCGAGGCGAACGCGGATCTGTGGGGGTTCGAGTTGGACGCGAGCGACGTGGAGGCGCTGTCGACGTTGGAGGATGGTGAGAGCGTCGTCGCGAGTCCGTGGGGGACGAAGCAAAAGAAAAACGTCGTCTTGCGACCGTTGCTCACCGCGATCATGTGGCCGGTGTCCAAGATCGTGCGCGTGGACGTGCAGCGGATGGGCCGGAGCGGGTTCTGGCGGTGGGCGTGGAGCGAAGGCGAATGAGTACTTAGTCACCGTGGGAGCGCGCCCGTAGCCTCGAGTTTTTTTTTCATTATTTGAATTTCTTTGGAGTGACTTCTTGGAGCGTTCGAACACTTCCCACCGCGCCGCCCCCGCCGCGCCTCCGTTCGACCATGGAGCACTTCACGGAGGACCTCGCGTGTCTCGTGTTCACGCAAGTCACGAACGTCCGCGACCGCCGCGCGCTCGCGGCCGTGAACGCGACGTTCAGGCGCGCGTCGCGTCGCGTCGAGTCGCTGCCGGTCGCGCTCGACCACAACGTCCCCGTGACAGGAACGGGCAACGGACCCGTGCTCAGAGGCGACTTCGAAGACTTGATCGCGCACGTCTTCGACCACGACGGCGCGTTCGACCTCCCCAGAGAGCGCGTCATGGAGCTTGTGCGCTTGACCGTCGCGGACACGGCGACGTTGCCCCTCATTATCTACGAAGGTACGACACCGCGCACGGACAAAGACAACTTCGATAACTTTTGTATCCACGCCGCGAAGGCCGGACGCCTCGACGTTTTGAGGTGGGCGCGAGAGAACTCAGACTGGGGCGAGTGGGATTCGATCGTCTGGCAATCTGCCGCCATAAAGGGACACCTTGACATCTTGCAGTGGGGGGAGGAAATATGGCCCAGTTCGTGTAGTTGCCCATGTGCGGCTGCCGCGTGCGGCGGTCAAATCGAAACGTTGAAGTGGTTGCTTCAAGACCGAACGTGTCCTTGTGAAGACCCTGAGTGGAGATGCGCATCAGCCGCCCGTAACGGCCAACTCGAAGCCCTGAGGTGGCTTCGCGAAGTACACGGCGACCCGTGGGACGAGAACGTTTTTATTCAAACCCTCGAGAACCAGCCCGAGCACGGGTACGGCGACAACGCGAAGAAGAACATTTCGGACGTGCTTCAATACGCGTTCGATAATCAGTGCCCTGGCTGGACTAGGTATGGGGGTCGGTGGGCCTTCGAGCCATTAAGATTCATTAAGAATATAGAGTAGGATCGCACTATGCTGGCACTAATCACATCCAGAGAGTGACCTTTCAGTCTGCATCGCGAACACAGAAGAGGAATCTACGAAGAAGAGCGAGCGAGGAGTTGTACCGACGATCGATCTACTACCAAACGTCCCTACGATTCGGCGGCTCGCGGCTCGGTTCCCTCGACCGCGCCCGACGCCCCTCGCCTCGCCGCGACGATCGCTCTCCGAACCTCCTCGACGTCGGCGTCGCCGTCGCCGTCGCCGTCGCCGCCTTCGACCCACCGACGCAGCATCCCCTCCGCGTCGTCCCGCCGCCCCGCGTCGCTCAACTCCCGCGCCGCGCGCAACACCGTCTGCTTATCCGGCTCCGTCCTGACCCGCGCTATGAGCGCCACCTCCGCGGCGGCGACCGACCCGAGCGCGTCGCGCGGCCGCAGCATCGCGCGCACCGCCGCGGAGGGCCGCCCGGACGCGAGGTGCGCCTTCGCGGCGGCCTCCATCCCGCCGCGGTTCTCCTCCGCGACGGCGAGCTCCCTCAGCGCCTCCTTCAACGCGGGATCCGTCGGAAGCAAACGCGCGGCGGCCAACGCGGCGGCGTCGCGCGGGAGCCCGCCGCGTCGTAACGACCCGAGCGCGCCGTGGACGTCGTGCAGCGACAGCGCGAGGACGCACGCGCGCTGGTGCTCGCCGCGTCGCTCCAGGCGCTCGATCTGTTTCGCGACGCACGTGGCGTAAAACGCGTGGCCGCCGCCGACGAGCGAGGCGAGGAAATCGGAGGGGATCGGGCCGTCGTGACGCGAGAAGACGACGTCCGCCGCGGCGTGGAAGTCGCCGCGGAGGATCGCCGCGTACGCCGCGCGTTCCGCGGGTTTGAACGCGCCGACGGAGGCGGCGGTTCGGGAGGAAAACGCGTCGTCGTCGTCCGCGTCGCCGCCGCCGCCGCCGCCGCCGCGCGTCTGCGCGTCCGCGTCGAGCGCGGCGCGTTCCTCCGCGAGCAACGTTCGCATCGCGTTCTCCTGTCCGGTGAACAGACCCAAACCGCGCGGGCCGTAGCCGCATTCCGTCGATTCCGCGTCGTCGATCGATCCCACGCCTCCTCCCCCGTGTATCCTCCGCGCGAGCGCGACGACCGCCGCTCGGCTCTGCGCGACGCCCTCCGCGGTGGCTTCGAACGACGTCGGTTTCAGTAACCCGCGACCGGCGGACGCGCCCTTGCGCTTCTTCTTCGTCGCCGCGCCGCCGCCGCCGCCGCCGTCGGGCGCGGGCGCGGGCGCGGATTTCTCCTCATCGCGCTCGTCGTCGTCCTCCTTCTCCGCCGTCCGCTCGCCGTCGCCGGCGTCCGCCGCGGCGACGCGCTTCTCGTCGCCCTCCGCGGTCTCCGCCGCGCTCGACGCGCCGCCGCCCGTCGCCGCCGAGGGCGCCGCCCGCGGATCCCTCGGATCGAACGCGCGCGCGGTCTGATCGTCGCCCCCGGTCACGAGCATCGCGGCGTCGCCATCGACGCGCGCCCACTTGACGCACAACGCCTTCCCGGGGACGTGCCCTCGCGACACCGCGGCGAGGACGGGCGCGCCGGAGAGGTCGTAGACGCGAACGACGCCGTCCGCGCCCGCCACGGCGGCGGCCACGCCGCCGCCGCCGCCGCGGCCGCGCGGCGCCCAGTCTAAATCCAAGAGCGCCTGGCGGCACGGCGGCGCGGACCTGACGACCTCGCCGGTGTCGCCGTCGTAGACGAGGAACGCGCCGTCCGCGCCGACGGAGCCGAGCCACGCGCGCGTCGTCTCGTCGCCGGCGTCTCCTCTCTTCGCGTTCGCGCGCGGCGCGGCGCCACCGCCACCGCGCGCGCGCCATCTCACGCGCGTCACCCGTCGCGCGTGTTCGAAAGCGCACCACTCGCGCGTGAACGACATTCCGCCGCCGGCGGCGTCGTCGACTGTTTTTTTCATCGCGTGCGCGGTCACGCACCCGTCGCTCCATCCGATCGCGACCTTGGTCGTGAACGCGTCCGCGTCTTCGCCCGCGTCGCCCGCGTCGTGGCCGTCTTCGTCGTCGTCGTCTACCTTCGGGGTTCGAATTCGAACGCGGAGCCAATCGAACGCGGCGATTTCCGCGCCGCCGCCCGCCTCCGAAGGCGGGCGATCGAACATCTCGCTCACGTCCACGAAATCACCGCCACCACCTCCTCCTCCGCCGCCGCTGCCGCCGCCGCCGCGTCGGCGGTCTTCCGGCACCGCGAGCGACGTCCATCGCCACACGCACCCGTTCCCTAACGACACCAAGACGACGTCCCCGCGCGGAGACGTTATCCACCGAACGTCCGACACAGCGCCGGCGTGGCAGTCTCTCTGTATCGCGTACCGCCCGCTCATCGCGTCGACGAGGACGATCCGGCCGTCCTCTAACCCGACCGCGGCGATCGAATTCGCGCTCGCTCTCGACCCCGACGCGTCGTCGAATCCGAATCCGTCGTCGTCGTCGATCGGACGAAACCGAACGCACGTCGCTTTCGTTCGCGGGAGCCCGCGAAATAAGACGGCGCCGCCGTCGCCGACGACGCCGCGTCCGCGGGACGCGTGGTCCTCCACGTCTAAACACCGCACGGTGCCGTCCCCGCACGCGATCGCGACCTGCGACGCGCGCTCGGGGTTCACGTCCATGTCGTACGCGAACCCGCCGAGCCCGCACGCGCTCCACGCCCTGGTCGCCGCGTCGACGCTCCAAGACGATATCGACTTATCCAGCGACGTCGTCGTCGCGATCGCGCCGCCGCCGCCGCCGGCGGACTCTCGCACGGCGAGGCTGAACACCGTGCGCGCGTGCGCGGACTCCGGCGGACCGAACGTCTCCGGCGGCGCGACGCACAGCCGTCCCTCGTCCGCGTCGAGATCGATTCGCCAACGCAAGACGTCACCGCCGTGCGACGACGTGAGCAACCAGCGCTCGTCGCTCTTTTTCTCGTTCGCGTTCGCGTTCGCGCGCGCCGCCGCCGCCTCCGAGGAGGAAGAAGACGGCGCGTCGATCGTCGCGCGCCCCGCCCACGCGACGCACAGCCACAGCCTCCCGCGCTGCGCCTCGGACAAGTGCGAGGGGCACTTGGGCAGCGGCAGCGTCCCGCGCAGGGACGCGCGCGCGCGTTTCGTGTCCCACGACCACAGCGTCACCGCGCGCTCGCCGCGTCCGCCGACGGCGAGCACAGCTGTGTCTTTACTCTTCTCGTCCCCGCGTCCTCCGGAAGCTCTCGGCGGCGCCCACGCGAGGGATTGGACCTCCGCGGCTCTCGCCGGGAGCTTCCGGACGCTCCCGTCGTCGACGTCCGCGACCGCGAGCGCGCCGCTCTGGTGCCCGATCGCGAGCGCGCCGCCGGAGTCGGCGGCGGCGTCCGCGTCGGCGTCCGCGTCAGCGGCGGCGGCGGTGTCGGCGTCGGCGTCGGCGAATTTGAACGCGAGGGCCAACACCGGCGACGCGTCCAACGGCGTCAACGCGCGCCACGGGCGATCGCCGCCGCCGCCGTACCCGCCGCACTCGCGAAACCGCCAGATGAACACCTTACCGGCGCGGTCGCCGGACGCGGCGATGGACGCGCTCGCGCGCGACGTCGCGACGGCCGAAACCTCCGCCGCGTGATGCCCGCGCATCGTCCGCACGCATCGTCGCGTCTCGACGTCCCACACGCGCACGTGCTTGTCCGCGCCGCCGGTGACGAGGAGGTGGCGCGCGCCCGGGAGCGTCGCGAACGCGAGCGCGGTGACGCGGTTGGCGTGGCCGACGAGCGCGCCGACGACGCGCGAGGGATGCGGGCTAAAAGGCGATGAAGGACGACGTCCTCGGTCGGCGGGGGGTCGATCGTCGTCGTCGTCGAGGAAGACGCCGCGCTCGACGGCGGCCGACGCGTCGTCGTCCGCGGACGATGACGAAGGCGGCTTGAGGAGGATCACCGCGTTCTTCGCGGCGTACGCGTACACGTCGCCGTCCTCGCCGCCCCAAGACGCGAGCGCGGAGCCGTACCAGTTCGGCGCGGGCGGGAGCGCTATCGCGTCCGCCATGACGCTCTCGATCGGACGACGACGACGACGACGACGACGGCGGGGGAGATCCGACGGAGGACGCCCGGTGCCTACTACCCCGGGATCCTCCTCTCCCTCTCCGCGACCTCACGTCGGACGCGTCGTCGACGCGCGGCCGCGCGCGTTTCCTATCCTTCACGCGCGCGGTCCCGCGCGCGCGCGCATGACGACGACGTCCTCGCGGCGACAGACGTGGGTCCGTGCGCTGGCGCTTATGCCCGTCCGATCGTCAACTTTCGCGCTCATCGGTTGCGGTTTCGTCCTCCAACAGACTCTCCCGCTGAACGCTCGTCTCCATTCGCGGCGGCGCGGCGGGGGAGCGCGATGCTCACCTTCTGCCCCTCGTGCGCGAACATGCTCCTCGTGACCACGAACGCCGCCGGGGCCGACGCCTCCCCGTGCCTCAAGCTCATCTGCCAGACGTGCCCGTACGCCTACGACGTCACGAAGACGCTGCGCGACGACGTGCCGGTGACGCGGAAAGAGGTGGACGACGTCCTCGGCGGCGACGACGCGTGGAAAAACGTCGACAAGACCGCGGCGACGTGCCCGAAGTGCGACCACGGGCAGGCGTACTTTATGCAGATACAGATACGAAGCGCAGACGAGCCGATGAGCACGTTCTTCAAGTGCGTGAAGTGCGGGAACCAGTGGAGGGAGGGATGAGGACGCGACGGACGGCGCGCGGATTCGTTCGTTCTTCGCGTCGTTATTATTCCGCGGATTCGATCGATCGAGTCGATCTCGAGGGACGTCGCGCGGGGGCGACGCGAGGGAGAGCCGCGCGAATCGAGGACGGACGAGACGCGCAGCGCGACGTAGACATCTTAGGTAGTAGACGTGAACGCATAGTCAGAACGTTCACCCGTCGCGCGAGCGGGCATCGCATCGTTCCCAGTGCACTATCGTTCCCACAGCAGCGCCGACTCCGCTCGCTCAAGCCGAGTCACTGACCGGAGCGCTTTATCTCCGCTCGCGTCGACGCATTCCACGCGCGCGCCCGGCACGCTCACAAGGCGACACGGGAACTATGGCGGAGCCGCAAGATGATTTCGACGAAGACGAGGCGCGTCTCCCCGCCGTCGCGTCGTCCGCGCGGTCGCCGCCGTCGCCGCGTCTCCCGGCGTCCTCCTCCTCCTCCTCCGATCCCCATCCTCCTCCCTCCCTCTCGAACCTAACGAAAAAAAACCCTAATCCCCGCCCTCCCGATTCGCGTCGCGCCGCGCAGGAGTACGAGGAGGTCTCCGAGGACGAGGAGGAGTACGAGGACGAGGACGGCGACGATGAGCCGGCCGCGGTGATGACCCCGGCCGCCGCCGCCGCGGCCGCGGCGGCGCCGCCCGCGGCCGCGACCGCCGCGGCCGCGACGCCCCCGACGGGCCCGAAAGAGTGGACCGGCCTGGCGTCCATGCCCCAGGCGACGCAGAAATCCCTCGTGGACGTCCTAAACTCCCTCCGCGAGAAGAACCAGAACGAGATGACCGTCGTCTTCGTCGGCAAGCAGGGCATGGGGAAGAGCAGCACGCTGAACAGCGTCCTGAACGAGCGCGTCGCCGTCAGCGCGCCGTTCCAGCCCGAGTCGCTGCGGCCGCTGCTCGCCGGTCGCGCCGCCGCGGGTTTCACGCTCAACCTCCTCGACACCCCGGGCCTTCTCGAGGGCGACGCGGTCTCCGCGCGCGGCGTCGCGAGCGTGAAGCTCGCGATGAAGGACCGCGAGGTGCACGCGATCGTGTACATGGACCGTCTGGACGAGTGGCGCGTGACCAACGGCGACCGCGCGGCGTTTCGCGCGCTCGCCGACGCGTTCGGCGCCGAGATGTGGGAGAGGACCGTGATCGGGTTATCGCACGGACAGCTGTCGCCGCCGAACGGGATGCCGTACGACGACTTCGTCGCGAAGCGCGCGGCCGCGCTTCGCGCCGCCATCCGCGACGAGCTTCGATCGCCCGGGTTGGCGCTGCCGCATTGCGTCGTCGAAAACGGCTCGCGGTGCGCCACCAACGGCGGCGGCGAAAAGGTTCTCCCGGACGCCGACCGAACCGTGTGGCTCACGAAGTTCGTCTCCACGCTCGTCGACGTCGCGAAGAGCCACGAGAAACCGATGGCGTACGACCCGGAGAAGGTGTACAGCTCAGCCGCGGATCCGAACAAGAAGAGGCGGTGGCTGGTGCCGATCTTGCTCGCGTTGCAGACGGCGGTGTTGAGGCCGCTCGTCGTGGGGACGATCCGACGCGACGTGAAGGGCGGCAAGGCGGGGAGGGTGTGAGGGCGCGACGATTCGATTGTAATACGTGAACGAAAACTACTACTACTACTACCGAGACGACTGGGCACCGCGCGCAAAATCTGTTGTTAGGTCAGATCTGAAGAGGACTGGCAGAATCTGAGATCTGACGCTCATAGTTCAGACGCCCCGAGGGGCCCGAATGCACGACGCGATGGAGGACGGGAACGGGGCCTCCCTCGACGATGGGAACGGGAACGGGGACGGGGTGGACGAGTGGAAGGACACGCGATGGGCGTCCACGAGCATGTTGGAGCGCGACGTCGCGGACGCGGTCGAGTCGCGGGAGCCCGATCGGTTCGCGTCCGCGGTGCGGCGGCTCGAGGACGCGCTCGCGGCCGCGCGCGAGGACGGCGACTTCAGCGTCGTCCACGCGCAGTACAGCCCCACGATGACGTTCCTCGCCGGACGCTCGAAGCTCCGGCGCGACGACGTCGCGGCGCTCGCGTCGCTCGCGTTCGAGATTTCGCACGCCGTCGTCGGCGACGTCAGCGCGCAGGTGCGATGGCTCGGCGCCGCGACGCGCGTCATCGAGCGCCACGGCGCCAAGCTGAGATTATCCGTGGACTGGCGGCCGCTCAAGGACCTCGTGCGGACGTACCTGGACGGCAACGCGACGGGATACAACGGCGCGGTGCCGCTCGCGGTGCATCAGTCCGTCGCGACGCGATGCGCGCACAAAGCGCGACGCTTCTTCTCGTCCGACGCGCCGAGAGAGATCTGGGAGTACTGCCGCCCGCTCCTTCGCTCGCTCGATTCCAGCGACTGCTTCGAGGGCGTCGCGCTGTTCCACCTCCTGATGCCGTGCATGCGCGTCGCGGAGGAGGACGCGAAGCACCCGTGGCGGGAGTGGTGCGAGGAGTGGATGGAGATGGCGGGATGGCAGCCGTCGTCGCGGTTCTGGCTCGCCGCGTTTCACGCCGTCTTCGCGCAGCTGGCGAAGCACGACGTCCACGACCGCATCGACTGGGCGAAACATCTCGCGCGGCTGTCCACGACGACGCTGTGGTTTACCGAGATTCCCGTGGGCGGCGGCGAGGGGGGCTGCCCGTTCGGTCGCCGCACGCCGTCGCGGACCGCGTACGTGTTCAATCGGACCGTCAACGACGCGGACGCGAGGATGAAGTACGCGATGAAGGCGCTGTGTCACCGCCTGGGCCGCGTTCCGACCGGGACCGGGACCGGGACCGGGACCGGGACCGGGGGGGATGCCGAGGGGGGTGCCGTTGCTGACCCGGCGATGGACGTCGTCGACGCGATCGTGGATCTCGTCGAGAACTACGCGCACCCGTCGAACAACGGCCGGTACACGTCCGTCATCGCGTTGTTCTTGAAGGACGGCGTGAAGTATTTCCGCAAACGCGTGGCGTCGAAAAAACTCAAAGCGTTTCCGCTGTCGGACGCGATAAAGACGCGGTTCGCGGTCGCGATGACTCGAATCATCGACAAAGGGATGTACAGTAAGAACAGCACGATGCGGTACGTGTCGTCGTCCGCGGCGGGGACGTTGGCGTACCTCGCGCCGAGCGTCGTGTTGCCGCTGGTGACGTCTCGGTTCGGCGAGGCGATTTCGCATCACACGGCGACGCATCAGCTCGCCGCGGCGCTGAGCGCGCTGACGTCGTGCGTCCGGCCGATGCTCCTCGTCGCGTCGAGCGAGGGTGATGACGGCCAAGACGCGAGCGTTATCATCGACGGCGGCGTTTCCGCGACGGAATATCTCGCGGTGACGCTCAACGAGACGCTGCCGGGGATCGACGCGAACGACCCTTCGAAGACGCTCGGGACGATTAAACTCTACGCGTCCGTGGTGAGTAACCTCGGCGTGTTAACGGACTTCGAACCGCCGTTTTCATTCGAGTGGTCCTCCTGGATCGACGCGCTGTTCGATCGCTTCTTCGTGTTCTTCGAAAACGTCGACTCCGGCGGCGCGTCGAACGCGAGCGGGTCGGACAAACACCGCGGCGGCGCCGGCGGCGACGGCGGCGCGTCCTATCTCATGGGCTCGTCGTCGATGTACTCGCCCTTAATGCGGCTTCTCTTCGCGCGGATGCACACCTCCACGCGCGCGAGGGCGGTCGAAAAGATCGCGCGGTTCGTGTTGGGGAGCACGCACGCGGGGCTCACCGCGGAGGTTGGGCAGATGGTCATGGCCGCGACGACGGAAGCGCCCGAGGAGGCGTCCCCGAAACTGGTGCGGCCAATCTTGCGCGCGCTCGCCGAGGAACTCTCCGTCGCGCGGCGCGCGGCGACGTCCGACGGCGACGCGCGCCCGGAGTCCATCATCTCGCCGACGCGAGAGGCGAAGCTCCGGTGGTTGAACGGCCTCCTCGGCGCGGGTCTGCACTACGGCGGCGAGAGGACGGCGGTCATCGCGGACGAGATCGCGGCGGCGGCGCGCGACATGTTCGCAACATCCGTGCTCGCGAAATCGCTCCCGCTCGCGGAGATGGGCGCGCACCTCACGTCGTTACTGTGCGGCGCGATGACGCGGACGTACGTCAACGACCTCTTCGCGGCGGAGGCGGAGGGAGGAGACGAGGCGAGGGGCGCATTTCCGAGCGCGTGGGTCGTGAGCAAGGTGAGAGAGGGCGAGGACGACGCGTCCATGCCGAGGCCGTTTTTGTGGCGAAAACCGTCGGAGAGAGAGCTCGAGATCGCCCGGGCGTTGTGCGCCGAGTTTCTCGAGACGCCGTGCCGCGCGCTCCTGGACGCGCACGGCGGCGACGGCGACGGCGACGGCGACGGCGACCCCGCTCGCGCGATGAGCAAAGAGGAAACGCGCGCCGCGCTCGCGGCGATCGGCGGCGTCGCGAGCGGCTTTCGCACGCGCATGCGAGACTTCGCGCCGACGCCGTCGCCCGACGAGGCCTCCGCCGGCCGCGACGGTGGGTTCACCGTCGTCGGCGTCCAGGACGTCCACGCGCCGTTCGTGGGCGTCGAGACGCGCGACCTCGCCGGCCGCGCGGTCGCCGCGGTCTTGAACCGCGTCTCCGCGGACGACGTGGACACGCTCGGGATGGCGTTGTCCGTCGCGGAGGACGTCCTGTCGCCGTTCCACCGAGACTACCACGGCGTCAAGGCGGCGCTTCGCACGTGGCACTCGGACGCGACCGCGCTGACGGCTCCGCAGACGCGCCCGGACGGGGATAAGACGCGACCGCGGTGGCTCGTCGGCGAGCACATGTTCTTGCGGTTCCTCTGGCGGTCGTCCCAGGCGGCGTACCACGCGGGCGGGCCCGGGTCTTCGCCGCCGACGGCGGCCGGGTACGTCCGACTGATGGACGCCGCGAGAAGGACGGCGCGGACAAGGCGCAGGCGGCGGTGAACGAGCTGTTTTTGTCCATCGCGATCCGGTTCTCGCGGTCGACGCTGCGAGGGAACGTCACGAGCGGGCCCGGCGCGGACGACGACTTCGAGTTGCATCCGGATTTGGCCGCGGCGAGGGAGGTGCGTTCTTTACAAACGTTTTTCACCCATCGCTCGGTTTCAACATTTGATCGTGTCTCCTTTCAACTGACCGACGAACCTTTTTTTGTATGGAACGACCCTCACAGAGCGTCTACGACTTGATGTCGCCCGCGGAGAAGGACCCGGCGGCGGCGGCGGCGGCGAAAGACGACGCCGCCGACGCTGACGCCGACGGCGCCGACGACGCCTCCCCCGGCGCGGTTCTCCACTGGACGTACAGCATCATGGCGAACGCGCTCCTATTATTCCTCGTGCACCCGAAGATCGACGCGCGCGAGATGGCGCGGCTGGCCAAATACGCCATGTCGTGCCTGCTCGGTCCGTCGAAGACGCTGCGGCTGCCCGCGGCTTGCGCGCTGCTGATGATCTCGCGTTACGACGCGTTCCACGACGCCGGGTCGACCGTCGTCCGCGACGTCCTCGCGAAGACCCCGCGCGCGGTGGAGATCGTGTTGAAGAACATCGCGCTGTGTCATCACGTGGAGGGTTTAGGCGGCGGCGACCACGGCGGCCACGGCGGCGGTCTTCCCGCGACTTCCCGCGCGGACGCGCTGACGCAAGCGGCGGAGAATTTGTACGGCGCGGGCGGCGACATGTCGGGGGCGCCGTGGCCGAAGTGCAGGGGCGCGGAGATCGCGACGCACGGGTGCTTCGTGACCGCGTGCGCGCGCGCGTTCCGGCTGTTCTTCAGCGTCGCGCCGGAGATTTTGATCGGCGGCGCGGTCGAGCGCGCGATCAAGGAGGCGATCGCGACGCACGGCGACCGAGGCGCGAGATGCGCCGCCGCGGAGGCGCTCGCGGGGATCCTCGCGTCGACCGACCCTTCACCGGAGACCATACGCTGGGCGAGCGCCACGTTACACAAGAGCGCGATGGAGGCGCCCGCGGACGACACCGAGGAGTGGTTGCGCGCGGTGAGATACGTCGTCCGAGGTGGGAACGAACTCGGGGGGGAGGAGGAGGACGGCGACTACGTGACCGCGGCGTCTCAGGCGACGCTGGATCTGATCGCCGCGCCGCTCGACGCGCGAACCGCCACGGTCGCGTGGCAATCGCGACGGTTCGAGCTCGCATCGCAAGCCATCGCAGAGCTCGCCTCGCCGCTGACGGGCGTGTCGTTCCAGGGCGGGTTCCTGCGGGAGATGCTCGCGCCCGGCGAGGCGTCGCCGCTCGCGAGCGACGCGCGGCCGACGCGCGAAGAAGCCGCGAAGGTCGCCGCACATCTGATCGCGTCGCACGCGGGGCCGCACGTCGCGGACGACGAGAGCGTCGGCAGAGCGGAGCTCAGAGCGCTGGCGCACGAGCTCCTGGACGAGTTCGTGGCGCGCGCGCCGAGGGCGGTGAGGGAGGCGCTCGCGGCGAACCCGGCGGAGACGGCGGCGGCGATTGAACGCGCCAACGCCGCCGTTAACGCCGGCGTCCCCATGGATCTCGACGCGCCCCCTCCCGCGGCGGCGACGCCCACGACCGCGGACGCGAGAGCGCCCCCCGGTCGCGGGCAGTCCTGGCTCGAGGGCGTCTTCCTGACGGTGATACAGCTCGCGAAGGGCGGCGACGCCGGGTCCGTCGCCGTCGCGTCTCGGCTGGCGTCGTTGCTTCCGTCGGCGTTGCGCGCGCAAGAGGCTCCGGATCGCGACTTCGCGCTCGTCGCGAAGCGCGCGCTGACGCATCTGAAGTACGTCGTGTTCCCCGGCGAAGCGATCGCGGGCGTCGTGCGAGGGATTCACGAGGGGTTGAGCGACGCGCAGTGGCACGCGCGCGCCGCCGCGTTGAAGTTCACGCAAGCCTTCGCCTTTCGTCACGCCTTCGCGTTGTCAGGTGCGTTCTATACACTGGTTCCCATACGACCGCGCTGGCGTGGTGAACGCCGATCCTTAAGGACTTTGCCCGGCTCTTCTGTCCGCCCAGCCCTCGATTTCAATACCCGCCCTCGGCGCCTTTCAACCCCAACTGACGCCTTTCAACTCCACCCCGACATTCGCTCGTATGGAACGGCCCTCAGACGCGGACCGCGACGGTCTGCGCGACGCGGTGTTTCTTGCGCTGACGGACGCGCAGATCGAAGTCCGGCTGCTCGCGGGGGAGTCGCTCATCGGGTTCATGCGCGGCGTGTGCGTCGTGAACGGCGCGGAGAGGGCGCTTCGCGCGCGGTGTTTGAAAGCGGGCGCGGACGCGGGCGGCGGCGGCGGCGGGCGGCGACGGCGAGAGACGCCGGCGGCGACGGAAGACGACGGAACGTCGATCGACGTCTCGACGCGGAGGCACGGCGCGGTGCTCGCGCTCTCCGCGTGCGTGCTCTCCGCGCCGTACGACGTCCCGTCGTGGCTCCCCGGGACGCTCGAGACGCTCGCGTCTTGGTCGTCGGATCCGTCGCGGCACGTCAAGGACACGGTGCGTCGAACGTTTTCCGAGTTCAAGAAGACGCACCAAGACACGTGGGCGGACACGAAGGCGGCGTTCACGGCGGAGCAGTGGGACAACGTGTCGATCGGGATGAGCTCGC